CCATCCAAATTTTTCTCCCACGATAAAAATTTACATAATAAATTTCTCAAAAAGGAAAATAGAAAACTAATTTTCCAAAAAATTCTCTTTTCTATTGTGAAGCAGGAAGAAGAGAAGAACAGTCCAAATTCCGAAGGAAATTGATTTTTATAATGCACTGGGAAAGGGGGCGAGCTTCGCGCGCGCATCATTGGTTAATGATTTATACATTTTTTTTTCTCTCATATACCCTTTCGGGATTTTACGATTTGTTCCCTTCCCACCCCCCAACCACCTATACCGCATTCACCGAAGGACAAGGGAAACCTCATTTGAGGGAAAGCCTGCCTAGGTACAGTCGTCTCTTGCGAGACTCCCGCTCGACAATTAAACCGTGAGATTTGGAGTGTCACAAATTTTGGCCCCCCCAGCGGGAAATCGAACCCGGGTCTCCCGCATGCCAATCCCACACTCCAACCAAATAGCCACCGCCGTCCGTATGATTTATACATATTATTTTTGATCATTAGGAATTCATTTATTTATTAAAAAAGTGTTACTGTCCGTTTTTATTATGATTCGATTTGAGAAAAATTTGAAAAAAGATCCACAAAAATTGCACGATGAAAAATACACGTTGTAAGTTTTAAGAAATTAGGTGCGTCTAAGAATAAAATCGGTCCCATTTTCCAAATGTAGGAATAAAAATCTTCGGAGTAAACTGCCCACTGTCAACATTCACAATATTTTGTATTGTTTTTGTCTTTTAAAATGTTACTATTCTATTTCTTTTCAATATTCATATAAATTTATTGTTCATGATAATTCCATAAGTATTTTTGCTATATCCAAAGGTTCAACTTTTATTGAAATTTGAATATTCGAATTTTTCAACTATATTTTTCCCGTTTATCTTTCCTACGTAGTTTAGCCATCACATGTATATGTATAATAAACTAAAAAAAGGAATATATATTTATCTATTTAAAACTTGAAAATAATATACATATATATATTTATTTATTCATTCATAGGCTAAGATAACCTTGAAATATTCCTAAGTCTAGCATATGCTTGGCGAAACAGATTGCTGACTAAAAATGTTTCACCTTTTTTTTAATAGAGGAAAAACATCGATAAATAAGAGTAGCAAACGAAAATAAGGAAAAGGAAAACTTGAAAGGAGTTCCTCAATCGACAATTTTCCGGAATCCCCATTTTTTCTTTAGAAATTCCTGGGTTCACAGTTCGTTAGCTCACCCGGTCTCACTCCAAATACGCTGTACATTACAACACGCAATGTACAACACAGTACACATTGAACGTAGGCTGATAGCTCTGATGATGATCCAAAACTTTTAGCGGAATGAAAACGGTGAAACGGCATCATTCATGAGCCATCACCATGAAACAGTCTCTCTCATATTTTTCAGTTGAGTAAGTGCAGGTGCAGCTGTACTTACTATACTTGTAGCATACCATCAACCAATTAACTGAGCTAAATCACTAGAATTATTCTCAACTCCCCCAGGTATCGAAACTATTCTCAAGTGTCTTTAAATCTGCGTGAATGCGTCTTAATGTATTTGACTCTCTACCATTTTTCCTCCAATTTTCTCTGCTCAAAACACTTAAACTAGAATTGACGAAGGTCGACAACATTCACCAAGTTTATAACAAAGTATCGCAACTCGTAAATAAAATTAACCGCTAATAAAACGTAAAAGGAACTTTTTTGTCATTTTTTTATTGATTTTTGAATCACAAATACAGGATCTCTCCATCCGGATTTCTAAGTCGACGAATGGTTTGAGATAATTTAATATGTCAATGCCTCTCGTGCCTCTTCGCTTTCGTTCCGCCTCTCGACTCGTTTCTTCGCTGGATAGAAATCCGAATTGATTGCACAAGCAATCTCATTGTCCAGTCTCCTAATTACGGAGAATGATGAAGGCATTGAGACCCATTTTGAAGGGAATTGAGAGCATTCGAAAAATTTTGAACCAATCAATGCGCAAATAGTCTGTGAAGTAGTGGCTGGAAATGAGAATATTCGGTCTCGTTTTCTGTAGTCGATAGCATTTTCTCTGGAAATTATTGATTTTACAAGCAGACAACACAGCATAAAAATGATTGTGCCTGCATGGTACAATGGGTTCATTTTAGCGTTCACGAAAATTTCGGGCTTCACCTTGTCTCATTTCTGATCTTCCACTAGGGTAATGCCAGACATTTCGGGCTGCGCTGCAGAAGTTTTTCTCGCCTTAGATGCGAGCTATTTACTCAGTAATTCCAAAACGGGAGATTATAGCAGTCCACATCTTCTGACGTCATAGGATATTGTTGGATAGGATTTTGGAGTAGGTAGGAAGACAACCAGGAGCTGGATGCAGTTTTCTGCAAGTACACGGGAACAAAATAAAATTGTTTTTACCCTGGGAACATAGTGATTCTTAATATGGGAAATAATGCAGGACCATACCCACCATACTCAAAAATTTACTATTCAACATAGCAATTTTGAGATCAAATGAAAAATTACGACGTGCTGGATGAAAAAATTTAAACATGATGGAATCCGTTGAAAAAATTACTGTTGAACACATAGTAAAAGTTGAGAGTTGGTATACTAGAGAATGGAAGTATAAAAAATTTTTCATTGTATTAAATTTTCTATAGACATGCGTAAAATTTAGGAGGATAAACATAAATTTTTACTTCGTTCGTTAAAAAAATAAACCCCCCTCCTCCTTCCAAAATAAATATTCGCGGAAGAGGACGAGCGAGAGGGGGATTTTTTGAACCGAAGTGAAAGCCAGATTTAATCTTCTTTATTATCCTTTAAAATTATTATCAATAACAGTTCTTGAGGATTTTATCGACTGTGGTATATATACGTTAGATGAATTTTTATTCAGCTTGCACTATTCTTTCGTGCTGTTGTTTAAATCTTATCAAATTTGAACTTTAGCACTGGGCCGTGGGTTCGAATCTCACTGTTAACAATTTTTGTCTTTAAAAATTTTTGTTAAAAATTTAAGATTGAATTTCATTACCACTGAAATTTCAAGGAATTTCGTCATTGAAAATTCCGAATTTCGTGGAGAAATCAATAAGAACTCTAAATTTCCGTTTCAGGAAAAATTATTTTTTCCCTAGAAATAAATAGAAAACCAGAAAACTCCGGTAAATATATTCTTGAATTTTCAGGACAGTGACACTGAACACGATTTAGGGGGAAAAAACCATGAAATTTCAGCATTCACTGAAAATTCAATGTAATTTGGTACTGAATATTGCTATTAGATTGGAGATTTAAATAAATTAATTAGTTCTCGTCGTTATGCTGCTTACAATTCTGGAATTTTACTGAATTTTCTATGAAACCTGAAGTTTCATGATTTTTTCCCCTTAAATCGCCTTCAGTGTCACTGTCCTGCAAATTAATAGTCAACTGTCCATAAAATTTCCTTTTTTTTCTAATTGTGCTCGCCCGATCGATCGGATGAACCTCGCAATTTTTTTAATTTGTGCATTGACTAATTAAACATTGTCGAGCTGCAAATCTCATATCCTGAACTACTGGGAGTGAATGGATAGTCCCTCTCTGTGCGAAAGTTTGAATTTGATGAAATTGAAATAAAAGCGCGAAAGAAAAATGTTCCTCACTAACACCCAAGGAATTACAAATGACCGGAAAGCCGAATAACATTTCATCTAATATTATTATCAATAATTTTGCTCCACGGATATTCATTCTGAAAAAAAGGAGGGAGAGGGGAAAGATTGAATTTGTTAGAATTATAGAATGCGCCACCCGGGCCATTGCGTGGTCGATGGAGGGAGGAGATTCCAAGAATTAACAACAATCGAAACTCTCATCGTTCGCTGGAGTTTTTACTAGTTGACATAGTAATTTCTGCTATTTCCTCGAGTAAAATGTAGGAGGCGCGAGAGTATAGACTCAAGTTTTAAATCGTACGAAAAAATTACAATTTAACGTGGTAAAAAATCATATAATTTGCGTAATGTCTAATCATTTAATAGTAAAAATTGGTTCCAAACAAAGTCGCGTTTTTAACACTTTTGAAAATTATTTTTTCGTCCTTGGATTTTATACTGCTTTGTGCGTTAAAAATTACTATGCTAAATCATAAAAAATGAATTTCACATCGCAAACGGTCATTTAAAATAAATTAAATCACATAGTAATTTCTAATTTTATATTCTCTCCGCATATTTTTCAATACTCATTGAAATAGCTTTCGGATTACTAAAAGTGGTTGATAATTAGAGGGAAATGTTGAATAACCTTGTGTAAAGTAACCTTGCAGTATAGTCTACATAAAAATGTCTCAAGGAATTTTTCTGACCCTCATCCTTTCGGAGCTAATTGCATATTAATCTGAATACCTGGCCGTCTACCCTAGATTCACCTCCTTGCACAATTCAATTGTAAAATTTTCTTGTCTTCAATTTGAAAATATTGTTCTAAAACACAATTTTTCATTTTCATTTGGGTTCCTACGAATTACAAATACGAATTTGAAAAATGTCTTCAGAATTAGTGCAATAAAAGAAACATGTCACCAGATTTTTTTCGTAATACTTCGGAGTGAACAAGAAAAGTGTCTCTTGAAGTTTCCCTCCAAACTTCTTCCTTTCATAGCTATAATTACAAAATAGCCTGCTAATAGGTTTTGGAGCTGCCTTGCCTCACTTGACTATTGGATTTCCCGGCAACATGGGCTTTCCTCCAGACTTTCTCAATTCTGTTGGATGGGATTTGTATCATATTGATGAAAGCGGAGATAAACACAATTTCGTTACTATTACTACTTCGAAATGTCCGTTAACTATTAACGAATGGTATTAATAGTTAACAAGCCTCGTTGACCGCAACTAAATATTTTTATCAGTGTATCGAAATGATGGAAGGTGATAAGTTTCAAAATATTGCACGGATCATCTAGGAAATATTACTTACACTAGTAGAATGGAAGGGCCTCCATTTATGAAGAATGTCTGTTATTGGGAGGAAGGCTGGTCTAGAATATCTGATGGTGCGTCAATATCAATATAAATATGCTGACACAGGGCGAGGGGCGGAGGGGGGAGGAAGAGGTCAAAACTGTCCAAAAATTTGCCTACATAATACTTGAACGGCCCCATACTTCAAGAAATTTGATAAAATAATGCCCTCAATAATCCTATGGAAAATTCAGACATTGCATATAGAAAATCCTTTGATCCTGAAATTTACAGAAATTGAAATCACCTGTGGAAAACCTCGTGCCATTTTTTCCTTACGTCAGAACAGATTTTCTACAGAACGCTTTTCTAAAAAGAATTTTTCTCATATGTTTATCCGTAGAAAATCGAAATGTCCCTTTTTTTAATGAAATTATTCATTTCCATAGTTAATATTAAGGAAGTAGGATCATGGGAAATGTGGAGAAAACAATAAACTGCGCTAGATTATTGCTAATTCGCAACGATTCGCTTATACATAAATTAAGCTTCCTCTGGCTTCTGAAAACCAAACAAGTTAAAAACAAACAAATAAATTGATAAATTATTTCGAAACGTACGTTAGTAAATGTCAGACCATTAAAATTTATAAAAAAAACAAATGTAAAGACTGACAGTCACAAGTCCAGCAGTCACGCATAAACTATGTGCAGAGAAACCTTCTTAATTCCTATTTTAACTAAACTAAACTTAACTAAACTGCTTAGTCTCTATTTTTTTAAAAACTCCAGTAGGATTTGTCTAAATTCATCAAAGGATTATCCTAAAATAATTACCATCCGAGAAACAGTAAAAACCTTTACGAAATTGCATGCAAAGAAGGCTCTTCGATGAATTCCTCTAAATGTATGAAGATAATCTTACACATGATAACTTTGTTACCTGTAATTGAATCAGATATTACCACCATATGATAAATATAACAACTAAAATTTTTTTCCTTCTTTGTTGGATTCTAATGGGATTTTTACTGTCAAGGATATCCAGTATCTTTTACAGTTTGCTACAGACCACACTATAGATTCAACCATTTTCAATTATCAAATTAGTCAATTAAATTGCATGAAAAAATGTTGAAAAAAATAATGAATATTCCAGCGTCATTCAGAATATATTTTGCACAGAATTATCATTTTTTTAAACATTCGTTGTTTATAAATAAATAATTGAAATTGTCTAAACTTTCGAAAACCTTACTATTTTAGGGATGAAATAGATTTCTGGTAAAATTCTGAATATGAATAAATTTGTTACGATTTCGAACAAATGTTTTTTATTGTGGAAAATTGATTGTTTATAAATTATTTATCGAAAATGCTCCTAATTTTCAGAAATTGCAATTTTTGAATTGTTTTATTAATCTTTCTCCAAAAGAAAACTTTGATTTTTTTTCAATTTTTTAAAATGTTTTCAAACGGTTTAATATCGAGATTCAACTTCGGATCTGCAAAGTTTGAATAATAAAATCGTTATAAAATGTCTGGAAACTTAGGGTCCAATGAGGCACAAATGTAAGCTCTGATGATCGACTGCAAAAGTAGAAAAACGTATCACTGGAGAAACAGAGTTTAGGGTGCGCTTTAACATGGGCAACAAAAAATTGCGCTCAGTTGCATACAAGGGAATGTACCATACAAAATTCCAGAATTGTGTTGGAGAATTCTAGATTCTTTCGATAAATTTCAAAAAATTCATGGGTCGTTTGAGAAATAGTAGAAAAATTCAAAGAAATTTTCAGGTTTATTTGTGAGAACGAAAATTAAAAATTCGCGAATGAAAAAAAATTCAGCATTTCAAAAGAAATCATTCTTTTCTCTTCATCCTATAGAACTCTTTAGAAAACTAAAAAATTTTTTAACTGAAAATTTTTTAACTGAAAATTTTTTCAAACCTACATAACTCGCTCCCTTAATGCCCTCTCTAATATCCTTTTCTCTGATTTAATGTTTAGATTTTGAGAGACAGTGCGTCTCTGGTACTTGGCTTTTGCCTGAGCCTAGTAGTAGTCCCAAATAGTGTATCAGCAGAGAGATGGTCGAGACAGGTGTCCAATAGTGAATGGATACCTCTGGCGAATCCCAGGTCACAGTTGCGACAGGAATCGCAGATTAGTCAGACATCAACTCTGCCAGAGTTGAATTTACCACCGCAATTGAGACAGGAGTATCAGTCGCAATTGTTACAACTACAGAAGACTCAGGAGAGTATTCAGAAACTGTTATTGCTGCAACAGCAATTACGATCGCAGCAGCAACTTTTGCAGGTAATAAAGATATTATCAGAATGACTCGAGTGTGATTAAGAATTTGATCATTTTTTAATGAGGCCATTTAGCTAGTGTAGTTAGGCTCAAATTGATGAATTTAATCTTAGGAAATGATTAGCCGCAATACGTTTTTTCCGTTTACATTCCAACAATATAATGTTTTGCTTCTGAGAATGACTATTTCCTCCATTCTAGATAGGATTTTTATTTGAAAGTCATAAATTTAATAATTATGTCGCCAATAAGTCATGTGAATTATCACGCTTGACAGACATTGTTAATAGGGCAATCATCGAGGAAATGAGCAATGCTAGGGAAAAGAGGTTCCTCGATGGTTTCTTCATTACCACACATTGCGCAGATCGTATAACAATCAACAATTAAGATGAGTTATGTCATCTTTAACCCTTTTATGACTTGGCATATCAATGAAAAAACATTAAGTTATCTGAACTGAATGAGTCTGTAAAACGAGTTGAATGGATTTCATATTCCTCACCTACATATTCTGGCACGTCATTGAAATTAAAATTTTCTGGATTGGGAAATAGTGCTTGTTAATTACAGACTACTGCTCGAAAAGCGTTTTCTTTCGGCGATATTGCAGTTATGGATATTTCGGTAATCTTGGTCGAGTTCCAGATATTTGCTGCCATGAGTGCCATTTTCAACCAAAAATAATACTCAGAACGTGGATAATACTAGCATTATCAACCACGAATTTAGCATTGATTAAACAACAACAGTTGTCAACAGAAAAACAGATTGCTTTTGTAGTAAACGTTACCAAAGTTTTGTAGTTTTACCATGGACAAGGTAATGGCTACTATGGAACATCGTAATGGTTACTATGGGCCACAGTAAACTCCTCAACGGGAATAGATCTTATGGACATAGATAATACAATAATTACTATGTTACATAGTAAGCTTTACTATGTTATATAGTGCAGCTTACTATGTTACGTAATAGAGCTCCCTATGTTACGTAAAATATCCTATAAAACATAATGAAATTATTCTAAATAGTTAAATAGGGGAGGGTAGGGCAAAACGGACCGCAGGGCAAAACGGACCACTGACAGAAAATTGATAATTTTTGTTTTTGCTTCCGAAAGGAGTCGAAAGCATTTGAATTCGAAGTCATTTGTGGTTTGAGGTGATTAGCAAATAAGATCAAATTGCGGTTGAACGACACTTGTTAACTATAAAACCCTTGTGACGGTTACGGTCCAAGAAACTCACTTTTAATTCACCACATTAAGTGTTCCTGACTTGAAGGAAAGAAAAAAAAATAAAAATTACCAATTTTCTGTCAGTGGTCCGTTTTGCCCTACCCTCCCCTACCATCAAGCAATGAAACATGAATAAATCAATGTTAGACACAGAAATACCATAAATTCAAGAACGAATATTTTCTTCTTGTAAGAACCATCGAAAAAAGAAATTATGTGTTTGAGTGAAACAATGGATTTATTCAGAAAGCTCCTAATAAAGCGTTGATTAAAACCTAAATTAAATTTCCAGTTCCACTTTTATTCATATCAAATGAATAGTTTTATTAATGTAAGCAAATGCTTTCTTCATAAAAGTAAAGACTTTCTTAGTTATAAATGGAGCCATTGCTTGGATGGTGAAAGAAAAGAATTTTCTTAAATATTTATCGGATATTTTTCTCAAGCTTCCCTACAAAAAAACTAGTGTGTCAGGTTTTGCAGACTAAAAATCCCGAGTACACAGCACGGTCCATCCCCTTTATTTGTTTACAATGGAACATTCGGGAAATATCCGATAATTTTGAAGGTCTCGGGGCATTACAACTGATAATTCACCACTACTAGTAAACTATCAAAATTATGATAATTCCACATTTACTTGAATTTGTGAAAAAAGCTTGTGTGAGTTTGTGTTTATTTCATTTAAGATAGAATCATTCAAAATGAGTTGATTTGGCCATAATTGTTAACGAGAAATTTATAACAAGATTTACCAGTTTTTTTACTTCTGTGAGATGTTCGTGTAAGGTGCCATATGGCCTCGACGCCTGCACTCTAATTGGTCGAACCCGGAAGGAAGGAAATTCTCTGAATACCCCTCGACCTTCAAAATTCATCAGATATTTCCCTCAAGTTTCCCTGCGCATCAGCGATCGCGATGAGTTTTTCAGAAAAATCATCCCTTTCACCGCATTTTTATCGGCTGAAATCAGAATTGAAGAAATTCTCTCTACATTAAAGAAGGGAAATTATATGGCGTTCCACATGTTTGTGACGTCATAGGAAATAATTGGATGGGATTCGGATGAGGGAGGAGGGGAACCGAGATTATTCTCAATATGTATAACCAGAAAATTTTCACTGAAAAAAATGGATAGTCCAGACCAGGATTTCAATTTGGGACCTTCCGATTATGCATCGGGTGCTCTCCCAACTGGCCGAAATCAGAATCGAACAAATTCTCTTCCGAATACCCCTTGACATTCAAAATTCATCAGATATTCCTCTCAAGTTTTCCTGTATATCAATGATGCGGATGAGTTTTGCATGTAACAAAACTCCTACACACTCCTACTTTATTCCACACGAGATTCATTAACTATTAACGAATGGTAGAATTTAATATGACCAAATAAATATTCGTTAATAGTTAACGAATGGTTCACTTGAAAGGTGAAAATCGAGTCAAACAAGACTTCTCAAATAGGCATTCGTTAACGATTAACAAATGAACATTTGGTGAGACCAAATATAGATTCTAGCCGTCAACCAAATCCATTGGTTAATAATAACGAATTCTATTTATCAATGTACGAACGTTACACCGTAACCGCGTTCTTCTCGTGCTGTGCGCTCGGGATTTTAATCTGCATAACTAATCCCTTTCGTTGCTATACAACAAAACGTTCGGGAAATATCCGATAATTTTGAAGGTCTTAGGGTGTTACAGATGACAATTTCCTCAATTCTGATTTTGACCAATCAGAGTGCATTATTCGGAGTCACGTGACACGTTTCACACTGATAATTTCCCCGAACACTGCACTGATAGAACGGATTAGTTATTGTTAACGAATGGATTTTGGTTGAAGGTTCGGGTCTATTCGGTCCCACCAAATGTTCATTCGTTAATAGTCAACGAATGTATATTTGAGGAGTCTTGTTTGACTTGACTTTCGCCATTCAAGTGAACCATTCATTAACTATTAACGAATATTCATTTGGTCATATTCAACTCTACCATTCGTTAATAGTTAACGAATCTCGTTTGGAATCAATGAATCATTCTATCAGTGTGCACCCTGATCGGCCCAAATCAGAATTGAAGAAATTATCCTCCGAATACCCTTCGACCTTCAAAATTCATCGGATATTTCCCAAATGTTTTGTTGCATAGCAACGAGAGGGATCAGTTTTACAGATTAACAATTTTACTGCAAATATCCGATAATTTTGAAGGTCTTAGGGTGTTACAGATGACAAATTCCTCAATTCTGATTTTGACCAATCAGAGTGCATTATTCGGAGTCACGTGACGCGTTTCACACTGATAATTTCCCCGGCTGCAGGGAAATTATCAGACTGATAATTTCCCTGTAGCCTGTCAATTGTTTTCTACGAATTTGACAAATATTCCTCCCATTTTGGTGAAATATGTGTCCCATAACCCCGAACACTGCACTGATAGAACGGATTAGTTATTGTTAACGAATGGATTTTGGTTGAAGGTTCGGGTCTATTCGGCCCCACCAAATGTTCATTCGTTAATAGTCAACGAATGTATATTTGAGGAGCCTTGTTTGACTTGACTTTCGCCATTCAAGTGAACCATTCATTAACTATTAACGAATATTCATTTGGTCATATTCAACTCTACCATTCGTTAATAGTTAACGAATCTCGTTTGGAATCAATGAATCATTCTATCAGTGTGCACCCTGATCGGCCCAAATCAGAATTGAAGAAATTATCCTCCGAATACCCCTCGACCTTCAAAATTCATAGGATATTTCCCAAATGTTTTGTTGCATAGCAACGAGAGGGATCAGTTTTACAGATTAACAATTTTACTGCAAAGCTGATCCCGATCGTTGATATGCAGGAAATGGGGTCTTGGGGTATTATAGCTGATAATTCATCAGGCTACTGTTGAATCATCAAACTGATAATTCCACAGTTGGGACAGCACCCGATNTTCGACCTTCAAAATTCATCGGATATTTCCCAAATGTTTTGTTGCATAGCAACGAGAGGGATCAGTTTTACAGATTAACAATTTTACTGCAAATATCCGATAATTTTGAAGGTCTTAGGGTGTTACAGATGACAAATTCCTCAATTCTGATTTTGACCAATCAGAGTGCATTATTCGGAGTCACGTGACGCGTTTCACACTGATAATTTCCCCGGCTGCAGGGAAATTATCAGACTGATAATTTCCCTGTAGCCTGTCAATTGTTTTCTACGAATTTGACAAATATTCCTCCCATTTTGGTGAAATATGTGTCCCATAACCCCGAACACTNATATTCGGGTCTATGCAAACGCTTCCTTTCTGTTTGAAAGAAGAGAATTAAAGGGGGTTTATTTGTACTGTATTTTTTTGCTTCCGAATGAAAGCCTTAAATTTGACCGAGTTTTCGATTGTCTAATTTTGATTGCAAATGGTCTAGAATCTTATGAAACGCGAAGGAGTGATGTTATTAGTGTCATATCTGTATGTATGTATCTGACATTTGGATTTTCGGTGATTCATTTTGAGAAAATTCAACATAAATACTAGCTTGACTCATTGTAGCTATGATTGAGCTCAACTTTAGCGCGCTGTTTCATCCCGATCGGTTCAGAAGTTCTTGAGGTATAACAACTGATTTAAATTTAGTTTTTCCTCAATATCTCAAAAACTACTGCACAGATTCTTTTGTATTTGAGGTCGACATTAATTCCGTATCAAAAAGATTTTTGGTCACTGAGCCTGTGAAACACCGGCCGTGTAGAATTTTCTTGCCTTATATGATTGCAGGACGAACCGAAGGCGAGGTCTCATTTACTAGAAAAGTTTATCCCAGCCTAATACTACATTCGTTACAAGAAAAATTCATGCTTGAATGATTTGCTGAATTTCCACTATTCAAATTGTAGAACATAACATAACACAAAACTGATATACGGAATTCATTCCTTTTAATATATCCCCAAAATGTCCATTAATTATTCATTCGTCCGGACTAATGTATTTCCGAAAGGAAGCGAATGGTGCAAAACATAAGCCGCGTTGGCTGATGCTATTAAGTAGATGGGTGGCGAGAGTGAGAAGCGCCTCAGCATAATGTCATAACATCGCTAGAAAGAAAATTGATCTGGAGAAATGACAAATTCATACAAAAGACATAAAATAAATAAATGAACAATGAAATTCATCTCCACTCGTCATTATTATCTCTAGTAATTTTTTTCATTGTGATAGGAAAAGCAACCTTGGTTATTAGAGAATATTTATGACAAGATTGTTTTCCCACGTAATTTAGGAACTGATTACTCTTCTCCCATTATTATCATCATTACCATAGTCGTCTGACCATTCCATTATCCTCGCTTTCAGAATCAAGCATACCTACCGAACGTTGTAGCCCCTGAAGACGATAAGCAGGCCTTCCAGCAGGGTTCGATCTCTAACTCACGCAACATTCCAGATCTCGCCCCCGAGATACTCACTCCCCCTCAACCACCCACCGAAACTGTCCCCCCAGTTTTTTCCCCTCAAGAATTCCATCGACCTCATTCCGAAAAATACGCGATTGACAGACCGAAGGAATCAGCGCAGCAAGTCTCCGGTCCGGCGAACACAGGCGAAAACTCCTCAAATGATGATGAAGAGGTAAATTCCCCTCCTTTCCTATTTCATTACTTAATTATCCTTACGTATCATAAATAAAGAAAGTGCGGAAGTCATAAAGCGACATTTTAATTCCCTATTTCAGATCCAGGTGGTTTACGTACCAGCGGAAACGCTTGCGCAACGGGGCCATCAACACAAGGAGGAGAGAAACCGTGATCACAAGCAGTTTGCGTTCCCAAATCACCGCCAGCAGCATCAGCGATACCAAATAGTCCAAACTTCTGATCTCTCATCACCTGATGACAATTCCTACAACCCAGACTACGTTCAGTTCCCCAAGGAGCCGACTAGAAGTGATAACACCGACTTCTTGAAAGCAGTAAGAGACAGGGAACTGGAGAGACTCAATGACCAGCGTCAAGAGATCCAAAAGCAAGCGAAGATTCAAGCAGCAGCTCAACAGCGTGAACAAGAGCGAGCACGTCAACGAGATGCAGAAAAGAAGCGAAAGGAGCTTCTTAAAATTGAAGAAGCTGCTAGACAACGGGAACTGGACAGGATTAGAGAAGCTCGTGAGCGTCAGCGACTTCAAGAACTTGAACGTGAGAAAGAAAGAGCAGCCAAAGCAAGACAAGCGGAAATAGATCGACTAGCTTCTCTCGAACGTCAAAAGAAGTTAGAACTGGAGAAATTAGCGCGAAAAGAAGAGGAACGAGCCAAAGAACTTGCTGAGAAGAGAGAGAAGGAGGCATCTGAGTCAGTTCAACAGGAATACGTTGGGAATAGCTATCACCAACAACACTTGACCGAGACGGGGAAGCAGAAACATCACCGAAACAGGGCAAAATCCAGACCTCGACCCCATCATAAAAACGTTCAAGATAATATTGAACGAAGTCACGATACATCAACCCCAGCGCCAACCCCAAATCAACCACCACTGGCTGTTTTCATGGGTTCTGATGACCTCATCGCTCAAGAAGTCAAAGTGGTTGACGTTCTCCGAGTTTTAAGAGAAGCTAAAAGCATCGCCGTCGTTGATCAGGTGACTGCAGAATCTCCAAAAGTCTTTGTAGGCCCTTCGAACTTGGACGTGCCCAACACATACTCCAAATTTGATCTTCCCTATTTGTCTTCACTAGACACGACACGAGTTGAAAGAAGAGTCGATAAATTACCGTTCTTTGTCGCTCCTTTGAGCTTCAATCCACCACCTGGATACTCAAAAATTCCCTTTCCAGCTCCTCATATTGGATCTGTTATTGTCAACACGATTGACGGACATTTGGGAACAGGACCATCCGGAGTATCAGAAAACAAATCTCACCCTAGTCCTCGACCCTTAATCGAGCCCAATTCATTCTTATCTCCTGGCCAAGGATCAACTTACCAACCAACTTATCAACCGTCTTACGAATCCCCCACGACCCCAAGTTACTCGACATATAGACAAGATCATGTCACTCAGCAGTATCAACCGACCGTGCACTTTCCTCCGAGTGCCAATGATAGATTTAGAGTCCAACAAAATGGACAGCAGCAGCCTCAACAACAGTATCAGTCTACTGTGCATCATCTAGAACCAACAGATGCGCCAACTGCTTCATTATCACCTTATCAAGAAGATTTGAATGTTTCTGGTAGGCCACAGCGTCCTGACTACCCCGAGGAGTCAATTCCAAGTTCTGTGACTCCAGGAAATGCTTACAGAAAACCATCGGTAGTGACGTCTTTCGAATATGAGCAGGAGACTGTTTCAACAACGCCGGTTTATGAGAGCAGCTATGTGCATACGAGGGTTCAGCCGAACAGCAATCAGGAGCTGACGGCTCAGCTAGCACAGATCAATCAGCATGACTACTCGCAACACCGACATGCTGACAATGTTTTTGCGCATCCGGCGCAGCAGGCAGGAGGGGAGCAGCATCACGGACATCATCATACCGGGGAGAGCTTCGAGTCTAATGCTTCTGGATCTTATGAGGATTCAGGGCGGGGCACGGTAAGTCCCGCGCATTATAACCTTCCGGCGGAACTTCCGCCGATTCATCCTCAACTTCCGGGGTTAGTGAACTCCTTGATAGAGAACAAACAGGAGCGGACGACGACAACAACGACGGAGGCTCCGACAACTGAAGTACCGACGTCTACCTATAGGACACGGACCCGTCACAGGTAAATAAGAGGATCAAATTAGAATTATGAACCAATAATTGAAAATAGATGTTATCATTTTTATAGTTACACATTAATCCTTAAGTGGATACGTTGGTGAAAAGTCTTCACTGGTCTTTGGGAGCCATTGAACAGTTTGTGATATATGACGGAATATGGAAATAACTAGGGAAAATCGCGGAACCGATCGATTTTGCTCCGTATAACTACGAAAAACTTCATTTTTTCCTGTTTTTACCTTCAAAATGCAAATGCGCAAAGAGCACCGTAGTTTTCATACGATATTAGCTTCATCTTTAATGTTCATTACACTCCAAAGAATGAAGTTAAGCATTGGTGTTACTTTACTCGCAATAGATCATGAATAAATAAATTTTGAATTTCATAAATTTATCGCGTCTCTAGAGTAGAGTAAAATTTATGACATTCAAAATTCATTTATTCATAATCTATTGCGGATAAAGTAAAACCGATGCTTAACTTTATTCTTTGGAGTTTAACGAACATTAAAAAAGAAAAGCTAAAATCGTATGAAAACTACGGGGCAAGAAGCGTTCTGAAAGTAAAATAGCAAAAAATAAAGTTTTTGGTGGTTATAGGGGGCAAAATCGATGGGGCCCGCAATTTTTCCTAGTCATTCATTCATATTCCGTCATATATCACAAATTGTTCAAAAGGTTGCGAGGCCTAGTGAAGACTATAATTTCACCCCGACGTATCCCCTTAAGGTGTTTCGTGTATAGATCATCGGGGGGGGGGGGTGAAACGGAAGAGGAGTCTTATTGTTCTCGAACCCTGATTCAATCCCCGAGCTCAAAATTGTGGTGCATTTGAACATTTTTTGAATATGGATTTTTTTTATCAGATTGATTGATTTTTTTCTCATCACCTACGGGTGTCAAAATAATTTTTATTGATGGTTTTCTAATTATTGAAATAATGTTAAAATGCGTCGCGACTTGATAACCCTGCAAGAAATATGATTCCATTGCATGCTTGTATAGACAATTTCAATTTTATATAACAACCATAATCTATTTTTATAACACAAATTCTTCATACCATTACTCTTTAAATGTTGAGCGCACAATACCCGAGACTTGGTAACCATCAACGTGCGATTTTTTTTAGTGCAAGTGAGACTTGTACGACATTTTGTCTGCCTGTGTATGATATTTATTTATTTATATGCCACATAGATTTTCAATAGAGAAAGGTTATAATAGTTCTCTTCTTAGAACACGGATAATCCAAAGTTAGAAAGTAATCTAATCTATTGTTCCCATAACTTGAGTTTCATTAAAAACAGGAGAATGAAGTGATAAAATAATCTTCAATAGGATGTTGGAAGCTTAATATGAGGATGTCCTTACAGAGCTAAGAACCTGTAATATTCATCTTCAAAAAACACTCAGCGGGGATTATTCGTTGTAGGGGTCGAGTTACTCGTCCACTTACAACAACGACGACGCCAGCATCAGTGACGAGAGAGTCGAATAGAAGTTCTCCCGAGAGGACAAGGAGACCTGTAAGTCGATCACGATCGAGGTATACGACTACTACGGAGGAGTATAAAGAGAGTTACGAGCCTACGAGAGCTAAAATTGCAGGGACGACTATGAAGTATAGTACTAGTGAGTCCTATAGGAGAACATCTGCTCCAAAGAATCAGAAGAGTAAGAGTAGAACGAGTGCACGTCCGTATGAATCAGCGGTAAGTATTTTCGGTGATTACTGAAAACCAGTTCTAATGAATGATAAAAACAAGTAGCGCAACAGAAGCCATTTGACAGATTAATATGACTGCTGTTCTCCACAATTTTTTTTTCTCCTATTTTCATTTCTACCAATTTCATTAGGCTTCGGCAATAGGCTTCCGAATGAATCCCAATGTATGTTTTCAAAATATAAAACCATATATTTATACTATATGGCTTCTTCAGTTATCCTGATGTGAAAATGAACGGCGAAATATAGATGCGTTAATTTTCTTTTTTTCAAGAATTTTGAGTAAATTGTTCCATCTCAAGAACTATCAAATATATCGACCTAAAATTTAATATAGGAATTTTCTTTGACAATCCTAAGTAGAAGCCAAAGTTTCTTCTTAACTAGAAGCCAAAGTTTCGCAAAAGTAAATTCCGGCCAAAAAAAAATTGCAGACGGCTGTATCTTCGATACAGCTGTAATTGTACATGGATACGTCCATGGTCTTTCCTTTTTTTTTATTTTTTTATTTAAGCATTTTAAACCAATCGGTTTACTCTGCTATGGTCTTTCCTTCTTTCTCGAATTTCGTAGGAACTCTTTGCATTCCCTCAAATTTCCTAGAAACTCCCTGAATTTCCTCAAAATTTCTAGAAACTTGAATTTTTTCGAAATTTCAAGAAACTTCTCGAATTATCTTGAAATTTCTAGAATTTACACATAAGGGCCGTTTTCCAAAATGACCCCCCATATTGAAACCATAGACGTATCCACATCAAAATACAAAAACGACGATATCTCGAAACATTTCAATGGGATGGTACCCTTATTTTATTGGATCTAGATAGATGACATCAAAACGCACATTTTGAAAAAAAAAATTGAAATGGAACCAATGATTTTTAAGATATTGAGCAAAAAAGTTTCACCTACAAAGTTGAATATCTCTGAATCCCAAACTTTGTTACCATAAAGCCTTAAAGTCATACTACGTTTCAAGTTTCTATCTCGATTATTTTTTACGTTATCGTGCGAACAAGCAATTTCAGCGAAAAAATGAAAAAAACGAGAATAAAACTACATTGCTCAGGGTATAATGGTCTTTCTTCAATCCAATTAAATAGGTATCGTCATGCCGAGTATTATGAAAAAAACTCGAATCGGTCGAATGGTTCAGGAGAGATCGGCAAAAAACGATTGTCGAAGAATCACTATGTCTCAGGAACCGCTCAATCGATTGAGCTGACATTTAGCACAAATTTGAGTCTCAGTAGTACCAATTAGCAGCCAAAATTATAGCATCTTTGCCTTCATGATTCTCGAGTTGAGGGGACAGTTCTGGACATACGAACACGCATGTGTGCACACAGACCTACACACATGCAGACATTTTTTAAAAACATCATTTCGTCAGGTTTCATGATATTCCTAGACATTTCCACCCAAAATTAAGAAATCGAAAAAAATCACGATTCGAAAACATCGATTCGGAAGCAAAAAACAAAAAAATGGCTCAATTTTTATTCTGCAAAAAGGCAGATTTTTGCTTGAAGTATATTTAGTACGGTCTCAACTCCACTCCATCATTAATTTGATAGTCAATAATAGAAAATTCTTTATCAAGGGGCAAATGTCCGAAAAATAAAATTTTCGGACATTTCCCAAGGTATTATACATTACCTGTTCACGAGACATAGAACCTTCGTTTCACGTTGCAAAATTTTAAGAACTATTATTGCATCAAGAAATATTTAATGCAATTTAATTTTTCAACTTTGAAAATTATAAATTCTTCTAGCCCTTGAATCAAATTCAAAACACTCAGCCTCTGGAGACAGTCTCAGATGAAGCAAATCCTTCGGTGGAGTCAGGTAGTTCCCAGGGCGACAGTTATTCCCAATACAGCGTTCCCATCTCTTCTGAAAGTCCAGAGAGCTCTTACACCCCAGAGATTGACTTTTCGAAAACTGCAAACTACCCCCAGCCGATTCCCTCCCACCGAGAGCAGAGACCGTTGGCTGACGACACGGGAATCTCCCAGCAGCATTACCAAGACAGATATCAAACTGGCCTGGGGTACCAGGCTAGTTTAATTGACCAAAACGATCAGTACAACTATCCAATTAATCATGAAGAGTCACATTTGGGGGCCTCCCCGGCTCCTAATGATTACTACTACCCTGATAAGAGTGAGAGTGTCGAGGCCTCAGGACAACAAGTTAATATTCCAACTGAGAATCCAGTTTATACTCAAATTTTGGAGTACATGCCTGGCACACACCCAGGAGGACAACAGGGAGTATTAAGTACTGAGTATAGCCAGTCTGGACAGTACTCGGGGGAGAAAAACAGTGGGAGTATTGAGGATGGACATGGCTACACTCATGAAAATTCATATGAACCTGTTGAGGTAATTGAATAGTCTTCGTATATTTATGAACGATATTTTCTGACAGAGACAATAAATGAGTTAATATGAAGAGAAGACTGCAGTCCGATTATTTTTAGATATATTTCAGAAACTATCTGATTCAAAGTGAAATATTAAGACACTTCTTGTACCTCGTAAAATTTACGACGAAATAAACTCTCTTCTCATATAGAATTTGCCGATATATACACCAAACGGCCAAATATCGGTCCAATATCGAGTTGCCGAACATTGGGGCTCTGATTAACCGTACATTAGTCACCTTATGAGGGAAACCGTGTCGCGCGTCATGTTTCTTTAATTTAATTGACTAGCTAACCGGAAAAATTAAAAAAATTTGACTTAATCAATTGAAGTATCTAAAAAATTATAGTGGCTTTTAGAACAACATATTTCCCAAAATTCCTAAAGAAAACAAATTATTTCGGATAGATGAATTATTTTTTCCCCATGTTAAATGAAAGTGCCCATGACGCGACGTGGCCGGAAACTCGCTAAACGCGCCCAGGCAATGTAGAGTGAATTGTGACCAATCATAGGGTCGCATTGGTGACCAGACTAGGATTAGAGGTCAAACATTGATTCAATATCCGCGCGCCAAACATTGAAACCGACCTAATATTGTAGGCTATTTTTTGAATAAATAGATGAATGGCATCCATCTTCTTTCCTAATATACAGAACATAGATATCGATACCCCGAATGAAGGCCTAAATAACTTAAGAATAGTAAATTCATTAATTTATTTCTCTTCTCATCGGAGTTACACATTAGTTAATTAATTGTTGATGATCGCATTCGGGGATTGAAACAAAAACACCACGTGGTATTTATATACCCGAAAAAAAATCTATCTTTATCTATCTTCATAAGAAATTTTAGACGGCCCAGTGGACAGCGCGCTTGACAACAGGTTAGAAGGACTCGCGATGGAACCCCCTGGGGGTAATTTTTTTAAATTTCATTTTTTTCTTCTTTGGTTCACTGAAATGGATACGAAGGGTTATAAAACGATTATAAACTATTGGAAGAAATAGTTATTTCCATAATCCGTTATATATCATAAACTGTTCAATGGTTCCCAAGGCCCAGTGAAGACTTAAATTACACCGATTTATCCCTTTAAGTATACCGTCATATCGAACAGGTTTTGATACAAAAAAATAAACTGAACTGACCGCAGTCACTACGGGATGGGTGACCATAGCGCAGCAACGGAAATATCACGAACTAACATGAACTTTTATTCATCATGTAATAAATTGAGTAAAATTATTGGAATGTACGAAAACATAGCTGAAAGAAAAATATTTGACAAAACGACCGGTCATTTTCGATCATCTTTCCACCTACGAAATTATTGATATAAATTCTTTACCTCTGCCCTCACTAGGCAACCACTGAACCAATCACAACGACAACTACTGAACCACCCTCGACAATTCGACAACGAGTTCGTGGTCGGTTAAGCAGTCGCACTCGTCAAGACTCAGCAATTCAAACTAGTCCCCGCGGCTCTCAGGACGATTTTGTGCAGTTCAGTGCAGTGACCAGACCCCCAGGAAGTCGCACATCCTCATCTCGTCAACGTGATACCCCTCGTCGTGTAAAAGCTCGTCCTCACAATCAGGCTCACGTGCAAAGTGAAGGTAATAATGAATATATTATAGACTATTGAACGGGCACTTCGCGCCCATCACTAGATTAATTTATACTATTTTATTTTATTTTCTTTCCATTTCCGTTTTTACAATTAGATTCATTTAATTTTATCCATTCTTATTGTTATTGTATTTTTTTGCCTTAATTCACAAGTTGCAACATTGAATGAAGCCGAATTATCTTAAAGATCGATCAAAAGGGTTTTTTTTTGTGATAAAAAAAAGTCATTTGAAGCCTCACTCCTGTTACATGGTCGGATTTCAATTATTATTATGAAAAGGAAATGAAAAAAGAATCAGAAAGGGATAATCGGCTGGAAAAAGTTTTTTTTCTTTCATGTCGGCGGGAACTTCGAATCACTTTTTTTCTTCAAGTATTAGAGTGATATCAATAATTTAGCAAGAAGAAACTTGAAAAATGCGAAAAAAGTGGGTGGAAAGAACTAACAAAATTTAGTTTTCAATATCTCTGGAAAGTTTTAAAATCGATTTTTTGTTCGAATAATGAAAGAATACCCATAAATTCGATTTCTATCCTTCTCTTTTGATAGAATGAATATATTCATTTTTGCCATCTAGGTAATTCTATAAATTACCTAGATGGCAATGAATTGCAAAACTTACAATTTAGAGACTAAAAATTTTACAAAAGGAATGATCGACTTGAAAATGAAGAAAATTTGTTTTTTCACACCCCTGCACGGAAAGTTCATGCTTTCCTTTGCAGGCGTGTTAAAAAATCGCATGTGCACCTCGGGCGGAAAGTCTTGATTTTCCGCCCTTGGTGCACAATATACTATTTCTTCATTTGCGTCGGTGGAAATTTCGAATCAGTTTTTTTCTCCGAATATGGATGAGATATGAGTATTTTAGAATTTTATGATCTAATTTTAACGAGAAGAAATGGAAAAAATATCAGAAAAAGTAGGCGGGAAGAAATAAAAATATTAATTTTTCAATGTCTCCAGAAAGTTTTAAAATCGTTATATTTTTTCAAACAATGGAAGAATACCCATAACGTCGATTTCTGTCTTTGTCTTTTGATAAGAAGAATCGAATGAATGAGAGAAATTGAGAATTGAAGACTAAAAATTTTATCGGATTATTATTATGTAATTTTTTCGACAATAAAGTATATACTCACATCTCTAAAAAAATGGTAGAGGCATTGCGTTCTTTGAATATTATCAAATCTAATGGAAAAAGTGTTGGCTTCATGGAAACCATTTTCAAGTTGCACGCAGTTTTACGAAATAAAATCTGTACAAAAACTGCTCATTCATTACGCAATTTGGGGAGATTCTCTAAAGCCTGATATGAGGTTGAAATTGATTCCTCTCGGTTCACCACTCCCGGTTTTGCACCCTATTTATAATCCTCTTCGATTATTCTGTTTGCAAAGGTGAAGGATTCGTTCGAATTCAGTCGTCAAACCGTCACAACCACCCGAAGACAATTGTTCAAACTGGAAAAATCACAACGACTACTCCAACCCCTTTAACCACGACAGAAGACTCTTCCGTTAATTCGGAGGATATTGAGTACGGCTTTATCAGGACTCCGAACTTCAATCAGCCCCAGAACCAAATCAGTAGCAAATTCCGTGCCCCAGATTCTCAAATTCAACTGCAAAACGTTGCCCCAACCGACGAAACTGCGGAGGATTCAAGTCCCAGTGTTACACAAGTGCCAAAACATCGACAGAAATATCAATCCCCCAACAGACCTCGACCTGACATCAAATCCACAGCTACCAGCATCATCACAACGACCCCAAGCCTTGAGGGATTCACCAACAAACCCAAAGTGAGAGCTGAAGAGCCCAAAAACCGAATTAGGACTAGAGTAAGGAGACCAGGTAACAGGAAACGTCCTGCAACGACGACAACCACCACCACCACCACTGAATATGTGCTGGATGGAAATAACAATCTTCCGCTTGATGAGAACTACCCGAGGATACCCATCCGTCATGTCGAGAGCTCAGGCGAGCGACAGCTGTATGACACGAGTTATGAGACGTTACCGAATGGAGGGGAAGGTGCTATGAGCAGAGTTGATTATGCTGGAGAAAACGTAAGTTCACACTATTGTTTGTCCTGTAGTAGAATTATGTGGAATTATGTCTAGACGTGAAAGAATTCTATTTGTTATTCAATACAAGGAATATTTTGTTTCTGAATTAATCTTTACACCGAACTCCCGGTTTGTGGGGCCGCTATCAAAACTTTCACAATGTATAACTATTGATAAATGTAAGAAAAAATTTCATCGGTTCTAATCGATACGTTTCTGATTTTTTTTTCCACGATTAATCCATGAAACCACCAATGTTTCTTCTAATTTATTCCCTCGGGAAATCGGTGAAGAATAATAATTAGCACCAATTATTCATAATGAATGATATATATTTGTTCGTTCGATAATCGAGGATTAAAGGGAGACTACTGCGAGTTTTAAACGTCGCGGGCTATTGGAGTGAGATTTCTCATGCTTTGAAGATCGGTTACTCATATCTAAAAATGGATAATTAGTAATAATTAGTCCAGGGCCTCGAATTTTTGAACTACAGGTTTCTTTTTTTTTCAAAATTTTTGAAAAAATATGTTGTGACGAGGCATATTCATTTATTTTTTATTATTTTTCTACATATTTTTTCCCACTACACACTGCCCCCTAAAAGGTAAATCCCGCCACCGTTGGATACCCCTTCCTCAGACTTTTCCCCTCATCGCCCCTCTGCCCCCGCCCCTGGACATCACGAAGACATCAGTTCCGGCCCCACCCGATCAATTGGAGAAGCCATCGCCTCCTGGAAATTCCCCATACTAGACCCCCGAATATTCAACACCTGCAATAATCCCTTGCGAGACATCCCTGGATTGTGGTCATCGTCACCAGTCACCCGTGCTGATTGGCCCCGATTGCTCCCGAATTAAAACCCGAAGGACATCGACACCTGACAAACCCCCACGAATCGCGAAGGAAAAGAAAAGACCGTCACTCGTGTAACCGCTGTCCTGGACACTGTCACGTGCGCCCCAAGCTAATTGAATAATCAGTGAACGTACCTCAAAGTCGACACATTTGGTTTTTTGTTGGGATAAAGAGGATTTCGGTGCCCGAGCTCAGCCCGGCCGTAGTTACTGTGCCCGTGGAATCCAGAAGGAGGAACGGAGGCTCAATCCCTGGAGTCATCGATGGACTCAGATTAGCCCTGAACTGGAAGTCGTGAGTACGAGTTGTCCCCCTCATTTCCCCCTCGCACCAAGAAGTATTCCTTTCTATACCCCCCCAACGGTGAGTCTACACTCTTTGTTTCTTCCCCATTTAGTTATTCTTTTCATATTTAGTTGCATTCCCTCGACACGACTAGCTTCTCCCCTTTTTCTGCATTAGAGTCACTCCCCTTTTTACGTGTACAAAAGTTGCCTGGCCTTACCCATAACCCTAGATCCAAGTAAAAGGCATTTCAAACGTCTTACGACAATCTAATATGTAGATTACTAGAAATATAGATGTTTAGTTAATTTTATCCCTCATTTGTCCTCATTATTTAATTGCCCTAAATCCCCCTTTTAGGAAATAATATTAATTAAATATTGAAAGGTCACAGTGTACAATAACAATTACGAATTAGTTTGTCGAAATTCGACTCCTACACAGCTAATTTCGTTTCGTTTAATATAAAAATTCGTGCCATTCATTGTTAATAGGCAGAAAAATTATCCTTAAAATACTTTAAACATATTCTCAATTCTTTCAGAAACATTTTTTGAACTATGTTACATGAATGGTACAATTTTTTGTTGAAATAACGAAATTAGCTGTACAAGAGTTGAATTTCAAAGAACTAATTCGTAATTGTTATTACAGACATTTTTTCGAAAATTTTGAAGAAAAAGAAATCTCTGTAACTCAAAAATTGGAGCCTCTGAACTATTTTTAAAATTTTAAGCGTCTGCAGGGCACACGAACAATAAACAATTAATTTTTTTGCACTAATTATTCGTGTTTAGATATATTTAATCGATGTTCAATGCATGAGATGAGAAATCTCATTCCAATAGCACACGACTTTTAAAACTCGTAGTAGTCTCCCCTTAACAGGCGAGATTTATATGAAAAAATATTCATAACAAACATTTATATGCAAAGAAAAAAAATGAAATTAAATATACTCATACGTTTTGCATCTGCTGTTCAACCCTTTCTGCGTTTGACCCTTCCGTCGTTTAACCTTTCATTGTTTGACCTTTTCCCATTTCAGCCCTCACTTGAATCTTCAGTTACAAAAAGTATTCATTTGCTCAAACAAACAGGAAATGCGATTCAGACGGAGTAGTGGTCTGACAGATCGCGGGGTACGGTAAACGTGCGTTTTCGGAGAGTTAATTCATTCATTTCAATTTCTTCCAAACGTTATTATGTGCGGTAATTATGTCCAAAGATAGTGAAAAGAGCTGTTGCTCTTGAATAAAAATTTTATTGGATTTTAATCAACGCGTCGTCCATCGCAACTTTTCATCATGTTTCCCGGTAATGGATAGATTTTGTTGTCAAAAAATTGAATATGCTCCGAAGAAATCCAATCTAAGAACCTTGGAAAATTAATTACCGAACCCAATATTATTGAAAAGACAAAGGGCCGGTTGCTCAAAGCCCTATTAGCCAAATAAATCGTCAGAATAAATTTATGTATAGAGGAAATTTATTCCACAGATAGGGCCGGCTGCACCATACCCTGTTAGCCAAATAGATTGTCAGAGTAAATTTATATCTGGTGTAAATTTATTCCACAGTTGAACAATTTTAGAAATCCGTCGTAGAGTGCTTTAATTCAGCCATTCTTTCCAAAACATCGACTAAATACTCATAATTAGTGGTATTATTGGCGAATAGTGATGATACATCGACGCACCACGTTTTTTGGTGAAATACCTTCGATGAAAATTGATCGGCCGATTGTTTTCATTTATTCCAATATTTAACTGAGGATTTTCTTAAAAGGTAATGGAACCCGTTACATGTGTTGAATTTTAGAATCGTCCTTGTGCCCACAGTTTTTAATTTGTGGAAATTAAAAAACTTCAGGCACTGCATAATATAGTAATGGAGTGATTGAAGTTTTTTTTTTAATTTCAAAAATTTATAACTGTGGACATGAGGACTATTTTAAAATTAAACACATGGAAGGGTACTCCTTACCTGGGCTTGATGTCACCGGGCTTTAGACAATTTTAGAAATTCATCATAGAATGCTTTCATTCAGTCATTACATCGTGAATATTGAGTAAATACTTCATAATTAACCGTATTATTCGCAACTACGGATCGTACATCGATACACCACGTTTTTTGGTGAGATACCTTCGATGAACTTTCATTCAAAATTAATGGGCAGATTATTTTCATTTATTCGAATACTTAACTCAAGATTTTCTTAACCTTCGATCACTCGCGCTCGGCCGCTTCATTCGTCGCACGGTTAGCGCAGCGCCGCTGGCTGAAACCGAACGCGCTGTTGCCACCTTGGCGCTTACCGCGATGCACGCATTTCAAGTGTGACAGTGAATGTAGCAACACTGTCACTGGAGGGGTCGACAGGGACTCACTCGCACCGGGCGGCGCTGCTTTTCTGTCCGTTCGACGTTTCTTTTCTTTTTTTAGCTACAATATTAGCTCAATAATTAATTAATCACTAATAACTTCTTCAATTTCATTGTTGGAAAATAATTCAATATATTAATGTAGTTAATTCAAGAATTCAACAATTATGACAAAAAAGAAATCGGTTCAGCGGTTCTTCAGATGTTCCCTCCCGGTCGGTCCACCGTGTTCCCTTTCGATCACCTATCCAAGTTCTCTAGCCGAGACAGGCACTGCTGCAACCATTATAGCTCAATTTGCCTTCCTCAGCAAAACACCTACCTCGGTGATCGATGAAAGAGGAAATTCTCAATGTGCATTTTGCTAAGCTCTCTTCAGATACTTACCTAATTTTACAACACTTTTTTCAAGTCTTTGAATCGTTTATCTAAATTGACAAAGAGGAGAGCGGTGTCACAGCTTAAGGTTCCATATCACGCTTGTATTTTTAATATTCAATTATCTCAGTAATTAGTGGTGCTGGAAAAAATTCTTGATAGATTTTTTCGTCGAAAATGTTTTTTTCTACTACAGAGATTTACGATTTTCCCTAAAACCTTCAAGTCTTATTTTCTAAATAAACAGCTAATCATGGAAAACCCCACTGAATGTGATTTTCTTCTTTTTCGAAAGTTTTTTCATGGTTCCTTTTAATGACTGATTTTAGGGAAGATAATTACAGAAATTCCCGAGGAATTATTTCTTTCCACAGCAAACATATCTGTTCATATTTTCCTTCTAAATCGTTCATTTTTGTCATAATCATCTGATTAACCTTAATTCAAACCGGGCGTTATTCTCATACGGTCCGCCTGAAGCATGAGTTGCTTCCATAGCCCCCACGACAATGAGGTTTAAGGAGGGACCGTGGTGCAACTTAAAAGTCTTTGGCTTACGGAGCAACTCATCGAGTGACTTTTGGTAAACGATAAGACATAAATAAGCAGGGAACAGCAAGCATGTCACTAAGTGCCGTTTTAATGGTTTTTCGTTACGATACATTGACGGCGGGCTTCCGAATGGTCTGAAATTTTACAAAACGACTTACAGATCAGTTTAATAGAAACAAGGGGGAAATTGTTCTTGTCTTCATATGGTATAGTTATTTGTGCTAATAAATTAGCAATATGCTCCTGAATGTCAATGAATAATTCATTGTTTATTTTATGTTATTAAATTGAATGAGATTTATTTTTAAACAATTGTATCAAATTTTCAATTTAGCTGAACGGCGACAAAAGCATTAGAATATTACGCAGAGACATACTCAGTGTTATATCCAGCCCGTGAAACCTCGACGAAATCTAGGGTCAGTCTTCACCCTAGCTTGGTCATCCTATGAGGGAAACCCCGCCGCGCGTCATTTTTCGTTAATTACAATTCACTTGAAATTGAATTGAAAAAAAAATTTGACTTTGTCAATTGAAGTGTCTAAAAAATTATTTTATTTTTTAGAACACTAGACATATATGCGCGCTTTGCGCGCGTACCACCCGTAAGTTCGAAATGGTCAAGTCTAAATCATAATTGACTTGTTGTTAATTGATTATTCTTTATGACTTATAGAATGAAGAGATATAATACCAATATTCATTTCATCTATATTAGTCGATATTTACTTCATCATCTCAAGGCAGGCTGCAAGTAATGCCTTTCTCTCACCATTCATTTTTCATCCCTTTATTGAAATATAGAGTTTCCCTTTGAATCACAAGAGCTACCGCTGGTCAATATTTTCCTTTCATTTATATAGGATTCATATAATTAAATACTCTTGACTTAATAGTAACGTGTTTATTACAGATGAAAAGAGATTGGGGTGAAAATGTAAGTTAGAGAGAGGAAAATAACCAATACGCAACTACTCCCTCTTTTCAAAAAGTTGTCACCCCGACAACTACATATCTGTTAAAGGCAATTGGAATGAAATTTCAGTAAATTAATGACTGAAATATCATCTCAATTATCTGGGGCCTTTAACCCAACTCTCTTCCAAAACCCAGATGGAAATAACAGAAAGAGAGAAGGTTTGACTCGAAATACTTCATTTTCTTCTTTCTTCCAACAAAACATTTTCCAATTATCCAGATGATTCTCGAATTCGTCCAATCACATAAGAGAGGGAAGGATTCCAACTGGAAAAGAAAAAGTTGGGATCAGTAGATTTCAATTGTTCATAAAGATTTAAAAAAGGTTTTATTATTATAAATAATAATCGATTCACCTATTCAAGTTGCATCAAGTATTAAATATTGACAAATATTTCATGGTAATTCATTGTCATTTCTAATCTTCCTCCCCTGGTCGACCGTAGTCTTTTCTCGAGGTCTCGTTTGATAACTTCAATATTAAGATAATAAATAAAGATAATAAAATAAGATAAATAAAAATAAGAATGAAATATTCCTAAGTATGTATAAGCATACATAAGCATACATAAGTATACATAAGCATATATAAGCATACATAAGCATACATAAGTATACCTAAGTATACATAAGCATACATAAGTATGTATTCATATGTATGTATGTATGTATGTATGTATGTATGTAGGTATATATATATATTTCTTATCTTAAATTATCATTTCTTATTTTATCTTATTTTGTCTTAAAATGAATAATAAGATAAATAAGATAAATAAAAATAAGAATGAAATATTCCTAAGTCAAGCATGGCGGAATAGATTGGGGACAAAAAACGTTTCATGGATTTTTTTAAAGAGGAACATATTTCCCACAATTTCTAAAGAAAACAAATTATTTCGGACAGATGAATTACTTTTTCCCGCTAAACACGCTCGAGCAGTGTAGAGTGAACTTGGCAACGTTAAGGGGTCTCCTCAGTGGGGCAAAACGGATAGGCGCGCGGGTGAGTGGAGCGTAAAATGGTTAAGTTAGTGAGGTTATTTTCGAGAGAGACGAAACATCAAACATGGCATGCGTTGGATAGTGACACATCCCGCCAATTATTTTTATCGTTAATTTATTCAACAAATTACTGGCAATACTCGATGAGACGTCATCCCATGTATAAGCAGAAATTCGAATGATTAATTGAAAACGAATGAAACGATAAAACTACTCAGAGTTGTTTTTACAATTTTCCTTTTACCATTTTTGATTATTATATTACATATTCAATTCGCTAGCACATTGTCGTTTTGTGGCGAAAATTACTGAGGAGACCCCTTAAAAGGGGTCTCCTCAGTAATTTGACCAAAGTCGTAGGGTCGCATTTGATGACCAGTCGGGTTAAAACAGAATAGAACAGAATCAATGTTACATGCTCGCTGCCATAAGCTCGCTATCTCCTGCTTGTTTGTATTCTTGGTGATTTTTTCACCGTAAGTCCCCCTTGGAATATATTGATAGAATTCATCAATTCATGGATATTATGTTGCAGTATCCTCAAGATTTTGCACTAAACTTTGGTGGAAACTTTGAAACTGAAGAACAGCAGGATGACACCCCACTCGCAAATCCCACGAGGAAACATCAATCCCATGGTCATCGTCATAGTCCTTCAACCGGAAGATTGAGAGCATATTCACATCACCAAACAGTTGCACCCGAGCGCGATATCTACGGTGCCGAAAGCCAGTGGTCAACAAAACTCTCGAAATCATCCTTCCAACCGAGTCTCAATCAATTAAACCAAGATGAAGATAAAAGCATTAATGGGGGATCAGGGGAAACGAAGGAGGAAGGCCCGGAAATTATTACTGCCCGACCAGAGGAGGCATTTGTCACGGTATTAGTCACTTCTGATGATAAATTGAATGATACGAAGAAGGAAATTGGGTCGCAGGAAGTTTCAACCGAGTCCGTGGATTTTGGCCAGAATATATCGTCAGAAGGGACGACAAACAATCCTGAAATCAGCGAGGAAACTAAACCTCCTCTGAGAAAGGTATGTATCTAAAGTCAATACAATCTAAATATATTTTCTCATTTAATGACAACTTATTGGAATTTTCTGTCAATATTTTTGTCTCGATAATTTGGAATATTAGTTTCATCTCAAAAAGTATGGTCCTGAACTTATATAGGTTCCAATGAAAATCCATACGATTATTTAATGAAATTTATTAACACAATTAACGTTTTGCATCAGTAGATTTTACAAATTATAACAATTAGTAAACAAAAATACATATCGTTTTCATAAATATTCAATGAACTTGAAGAGTATGCGGTATTCCACGTCAAATGAGTCAACCGCTGACCCTCACCCTCTCGGAAATTAATGGCGATTTTTTAACGATTACTACATGCTCATAATAACGAATTTTCAAAAAAAAAATTAAAACAACTTGAATTTTGCAAATTACGCCATGGTCGATTTTCAAAAATTTGTTTTCAGTAATTTTTCTAATTTCAATAAGTAGTTTGACTCGTTGTCTAAGTGGGGCATCCTCCTGGATCTATTTTATTTTTAATTTTTCCTTTTCGAAATTTCGCCAATTTGGTCAAAACCCCCCAAAATGACTTCGATTATTTATTGAAAAAATATGTAATACATAGGTGTACAGTCGAATTCACTTCATACTGTCTATAATCAAAGTCAATCAACGCCATTTTGTTGTGTTTTGACCAAATTTGCGGAATTTGGAAAATAAAAAATTGAAAATAAAATAGATCCAAGAGGATGCGCGACGGAATGACGGCTGAAAATACTCATTTTTTTTGTCGTTATTTTACATCCTCTCAACCCGGTTGGGGGTATGCTGCGATGATGATCAAGACTTTAAAGGATGAGATCTCATCATTCTGCCCGGCCGGGTTTTGAACTCGGACAATTCCCATGTGAGACAACGAAGTTACCCACTGCGCCAAGCCACCGGGAAATAAATACTTGTTTTGATCATAAGAATTACTGAAAAAAATGAAACAAATCAATCGTAACATAATTTCCAAAATTCAAGTTTGTCAACTTTTTTTCTAAAATTCGTTATTATGACCACCTAGAGAGTAAAAAAAAATTTCACTAAAAATATTCTTATAAGAAGTGAAAAATTGAAAATTTTGACGCTTAAGAAATCAAAATCAGATGGATAGATCTGGAGGTATTGAAAAAAAAAACAGAAAAACGAAAAAAAATCAGATCTCCGAACTGGGCTGCCGAAAAAATGAAAAAAATTCAGTTTTTCAACCCCTCCAACTGTAGCAAAAATCGCCATCAATTTCCAAGAGGGTGAGAATCTGCGGTTGAATTGGGCTCGCTAAATAAGAAAACGCTATCTAGGCTCTGAGGAGCACGGGCACTCACACACACAACACAACCAAATTTTGGGTTTGTGTAGGCGCGTATATGAGCGCCTTAGAGCGACCATATTGACGAAAAACAGCGCCCTCAACGGTATTTATCGAGGCCCATACCTCGTATGCCCACACGCTCGCTACCATGATGACTTCAGTATCTTATCCACATGTTCTCACCGTTGGTAATGCAGGGAAGTAAATATCCCGTATGACTTTTTCAATAAAATTGTTATTGATTAATTCATCAGGATTGTTTTTGCACTATTATTTTTTTATCATTGTTTTGAATTTTGAGCCATCATATCAGAAAAAGGGTTTTTGTTTTAGGCTCTCTCGACCCAACTATTGTTATAAACAACACAAACTGTCAAAAGTTTTCATAAAAAATGTTTCTTTTTCACTTACTATCAGAATGAATTCATTTTTATTCTTTAAAAAAATAAAAAAAATCTCTCCGGCAGGGAATCGAACCCTGGTCTCCCGCGTGACAGGCGGGGATACTAACCACTATACTACCGGAGACTTGTGTTCAATTTGAAAGAATTCCGTACATGTTCACGTAATACTCCAAGAAAAGTTGACAAGGATTTTGCAAAAAAAATGATAAAAATTTACCAGCTGGCCCTGAAAAAATAGGAATCATCACAGAAGTTGGGAAAAATCACTCACGATATTGGAAAAGCGATCGGTACTGTTAATTATTATCATTATTTAAAATTTCCATATCCGTACTATTTCGATTTTTTTAAACCAGGTTTTCATTAAAAAAAAACAATCCTTATTTGTAATATTTAGAACCCTTAAAAAACTAGTATCAAAAAAGGTTCTTTGAAGATTATCTTACACGATGTGTAAACTTTGCCCAGGAGTAACTCTCGAGTTTATTGATTATCGAAGAATTTTCTTTGATGTTGTAAATTATAACGTATTTTCATTAGACATTGATACGTGAATTCTTACAATCAATATCAATGGGTTTATAGGTGCTCTAAAATGTGTTTTTTTTTTCAATTATATGGTGTAAACCATTAAATAATGAGTCACAATCATATCGTTTGTGTAAATTCGAATTCATTAAAATGATGTTTAATTGGGGGAGCAGTTTTTGTAATTATCATCAATGCTTCTTTTTTCTCTAATTTAATCATACTTAGTCAGTCAAAAGTGAACTCAATATTGAACTGCCAGTCCAGCATTGGAGTCCAGCGTTCTTTTAATTTCATCAAAAACCTTGGCGTATTTGCCTCGTTTCATTTATTTCATTTTTTCTTATGAATTTAAACATTATTTTATGAGTGTCAATCATTTGAGTAAAAATATCTGTTTATCTCTTCGTTATATACAAATAACAGTCTTTTGTAACTTACAATTGCGCTATTTAGACGAAATGCTTTAAGGTACTTCCGCAGTAAGTATACTTGGTGAAAATTTCGAAACGGTATAAAGACGCAATATTTGGATCATATCTTGTTGACCACATTAAAAAGATATTCCCAAAATTTCAAGTCCCTGGTCCACCCCATTTTTGAGATATGCATCGCCAAACATTCAATTTTTGTGTTTTTTCCATTTTTGACGATGTATATCTCGAAAATGGGGTGGACAAGGTACTTGAAATTTTGGGAATAGTTTTTGAATGTGATCAACAACATATGATCCAAATATTGCGTCTTTATACCATTTCGAAATTTTCACCAAGTATACTTACTGCGGAAGTTCCTTAAATAATAATAATAATAATAATAATAATAATAATAAATTATATAATTATATTATATTTAATATTCTGCTAAAAAAAAACAAAGAATTCAAAGAGAATTAGAATTTAGAGAAAAAAATCCCACACCGCCCAGCCGGGATTCGAACCCGGGTCTCCCAGTTACGTGCCGGGCACTCTCCCAACTAAGCGAATAATAATAATAATCATTATAATAATGAGTCGTTTTTTCAACATTTTTCAAACTTTAGTCAAGTATAGCAACACAGGAAACACTATGCGGACTTTTCGCAATCAATATGCGGGTTTTATGTTTTATGAGCTCTGCGAGCCTAACTCTGTATATAACGTCCGATTAGTGACGCATAAAATATGCATAAAGTGTACGTAAAGTCCGTTGGTGGACAATTGCGTCAAGCCGCACTCTTTATGTGCATTTTGGGCTTAAGAGTCCCACGGATGAGATTGCCGCGGGGCAATCTGAGAATTTCAACGGCTTTCACAATGTTCAAGATTTTTATTCAAATATCCGGTGTATTTATTGGACATTTACGAGAAATTTAGGTATTAAAAATTTCAGTTTTCTGAAAAAATCAATGGGAACTGTAAATTTAGTTCAATTGTGACATGAAAATCAAGAGAAATCCGAAAAATTAAGGCGAATGTATTCTTGGATTTTCAATTGATTATAAATTCAAATAACTCCAACAAGTTCACGAAATGATCCAATAATCAACCAAATTATTATTACAAGTTTACTAATTGTCATCTGTTGAATAATAATGAAATTACCTCCTTGGTAAGACTGAATATGCCACGAAGGATCGTATGATCTTCTGTAGAAAAATTGTCGCGTCAAACTGTAAGGCATGCAAGAAAAACGCTGGGTTCTCGCAGATCTATGCGGAAAGTACGCATAGATGTGTATACAGTAGACTCTCGTTATAGTCGCACTCACGGGGCTGTAGGGGCAGCCGATTCTGAGAATGGGACTGTATTTCTCTTCCCCCACCAGGCGCTCACGGTAAGCCTAAATTCCGGGAATCGGGAGCGATAAGAAAATAAATTTTACTCCAATTATTTTTCTCTTCAATTTGCATTGAACATTTTTATTAAATATAAAAATTATTTTCATTAAACACTTTTATTAAATTAACAAAATGAATTGCGTTGAACACTTTTAGTAAATTAATGAAATGAATAGAAATATTAATAACATCGCATTGTTCCATACACTCCAAAATTTATTCACTTCATTCAAATAAAAAGCAGGATTATGCACCACTGCAAAGACCCTCTCTTCGTGACAGTCAAGAGTGAACTGAATTTCTCTCGCAAATTCATTTTTCCTAAATTTTATTTCCCGAATTTCTTAGAAATGCAAAACAAAGCCCATTCCGAGAAAACACAGGGGCATTTAAATCCACACCTCGGAGGTGGTACGGAGTGGGGGAAGCGCTCGAGCTCGAAAAAATCGATATGAGGGGAAATGCGACTATAACGAATGCGACTATAACGAGAGTCTACTGTACAATACCCACAAAATTATGGACTTCATGCACAGGTAGAAGGAGAGTCCCTACACTAAGAGAAAAATCGATATAATATCACAAAAATCATTTCTAGAGTGAAAAACATCGCGTACATATTTGGTCAATTTGTGGTAGGTTTCAGACAAGAAATCGGTGGTCTTCAGGCTAAGGAGGAAGTTACTGAACGAAAACGTGATGTCTTTTCGTAATGAGATAATATTCCTTAAAAAACAAGAATATTTTGACAAAAGAAAAAAAGCTATTGTTTCCTTCGAACTCAACGCGATTGAGCGTAGGGACAGTTATATTTTGTTAATATCTGGAGATTTTCCTCTGCGTAAACTCTCTATTCTCTCAATATGAAAGTCTCTAATTCATGATTCACTAAATCGAAACTTTTAATGTTTTTAGACATTTTCTCATCTTCTGGCACAAAAAACCCGATTTCTTATGGCAAGAAATTCTCACTTTATCGTGAAATGTTCATCTTCAAGTCATAAACACTTCACTAAAATCTGACATTGTCTGACTCATTATTCGGAATTCTTATCCCAAGAAATTTATGTGCAAGAGATGAGATATTTGGCGCAAGAAATTAGTTTTGTAATATTATGACGATATTTCTCTCAGTGTATGAGTGACCCTAAAAAAACAGAAACAAATGTTTTTGTAAAAAAAATGCGTCAAGAAAAAGTTTTGTTCGGTTCTTACTGGAAAGTGGAAATTTTTGAAAAATAAAAAGAAACGAAAACGGAAGCTAAGTCAGCAATGTCAAATAAACGAAAATAGTGCACAATCAGATTTCTATAAAAGAAATTGTTTCAAATCGAATGAGGATTTAAAAAAAAAATCTTGATGAAATAAAAAATTAGTAGAAGGAGGACCAACGTCCTTGGCGCGGATCAGAAGATGGAGAATGAGATTGATACTAGACAATGAGTTGAAAAACTCCGCGCCAAGAACGTTGGTCCTCCTTCTACTAATTTTTTATTTCATCAAGAATTTTTTTAAAATCCTCATTCGATTTGAAATAATTTCTTTTATAGAAATCTGATTGTGCACTATTTTCGTTTATTCGACATTGCTGACTTGGCTTCCATTTTCATTTCTTTTTATTTTTCAAAAATTTCTACTTTTCAGTAAGAACCGAACAAAAATTTTTCTTGGCGCCTTTTTTTTTTTACAAAAACATTTGTTTTTGTTTTTTTTTGGGAGATTTCATTATTTTTTTCAAAATAAACAAGGAATCGTTTTTATATCCTGTAAATTTCTTCATTTTCAATTCAATTCGGCTCATTTATTTTTCACACGATAAATCATCTTTCCAATTAACAATCGAAGTAAAACAAATAGTTCTATTCCACAGTCGTTATTTGCACCGACTTTTAATTATTTATTCAAGATTTTCCGACTGAATTTGCTTCTTCGAGAATTCATTTGTGCACGAAACTCGAATGAAAAATATCTGTGGAATTCATCATTCGTGCACCATATTCAATTAGTAAATTCCCGGGCTTCTCCTTGGTGCGAGTGGTTGTATTGCACTGCTACCAACTCCGTAACAAAAAAATGATAGGAGTTGATGTGAAATGCGAGAATGTGTATATGAACCCGTTGCTATGCGCCTATTTTTTAAAATATTGCTTCGGACAAAAAAATAGTTACATCAGTAAGAAGCTTGTGGCCAATTTATATAATGTAACTAAGAGTATTTTTCATGTAGCTCGTCACGTTTGTATTTTATTCAATGGATATGATTCGGAGGTAGTGGAGGGGTTAGTTGCTTCGTGTATAGATACACGGCAGCGATCGGCCTGATGTTTTGTACAATCGGAGTCAAAACTTTTCTTGGCCGATACGCTGCCGCGTATCTCGATTTCCGCACTTATAACGCGTGACCTGCGCATAAGAGAGCGACTTTGACGATTGCGTAAACCGCCTCGTTATGCGTAAAATCCGCATAACATTACGGGAAGTTCGCAATCACAATCCCATCTCGTTTCTATAATTTCCAGCAATTAATCCCCGTCCTGCATTTCAAATAACTTTTCCCCATTCTGCTCAGAACTAGATTACACCAAAGTAAATATTTCGAAACGATAATCCAGTCTCAACAGCATGATGATATTTTTTCTATCACCGATCACGTATGAAAACATTTAATAAAAAATCTTGGTAAATTCGCTAGGAAACTCTATCGGAATTCTCTAAAAATTCTATGGGGATTCTATTAAAATTCCAAAAAATTCTCCTTAAAATTCTATTTGGGGTATTCCATGTGAATTCACCCAGGTCAAAACCCTCACCATCGCCAATCATATTGCCGATTTTTCCTGTGGTTGTATATGGAAAAATATGACTTGTCAAATTTTTTCAGATTTTTTGAGGCATCCTGTGGACAGCCATGTTTTTTTGGAAGTTTTACCTTTAAATGCCTGCAACTTCCGTAAAGGTCAACCGATTTGAGTTTTTTTTTTACAAAATGTGCGTCTTCGAACACACTTTCCATATAAAAATATGCCAATTTTTTTCAATTCGTTCTTCCATCGATTTCTTCAGAAAAACCTAAAAAAACGAGTTGTTTTCAAAGTTGGACCCGTTTTATATTTTTCAAAACATTTCAGTGAATATATTGGACCAAAACAAAATTTTTCACCAAAGGCCAAAGTGGGTTTCCGATTTCGTGGCCGTCATTTCCAATTTGAATATATGAATTCGGGATGAAAAATTTCAAAAATTTCAAAATTCTTTTCGCATTTGAACGCAGAAGCATTATTTGAATTTACCGCCTGAAGAATCACTGCATTATATTCGAATCTGGAACAATTTGATGATTTTTTGAAAATTCGTTAACAATAAATCTTTTCGAGTGGTGTGTTCTAATAGAAATCCCACTTTGGCCTTTGGTGAAAAATTTTATTTTAGTGCAATATATTCACTGAAATTTTTTGAAAAATATGAAAAGGGTCCAACTTTGAAAACGACTCGTTTTTTGAAGTTTTTTGAGATTTTTCTGAGGAAATCGATGGAAGAACGAATTGAAAAAAATTGGCATATTTTTATATGGAAAGTGTGTTCGAAGACGCACATTTTGTAAAAAAAANATCACTGCATTATATTCGAATCTGGAACAATTTGATGATTTTTTGAAAATTCGTTAACAATAAATCTTTTCGAGTGGTGTGTTCTAATAGAAATCCCACTTTGGCCTTTGGTGAAAAATTTTATTTTAGTGCAATATATTCACTGAAATTTTTTGAAAAATATGAAAAGGGTCCAACTTTGAAAACGACTCGTTTTTTGAAGTTTTTTGAGATTTTTCTGAGGAAATCGATGGAAGAACGAATTGAAAAAAATTGTCATATTTTTATATGGGAAGTGTGTTCTAAGACGCACATTTTGGAAAAAAAAACTCAAATCGGTTGATTTTTACGGAAGTTACAGGCATTTGAAGATAAAACTTGCAAAAAAAAACATGGCTGCCCACAGGATGCCTTCAAAAATCTGAAAAAATTTGAGAAGTCATATTTTTCCATAGACAACCACAGGAAAAATCGGCAATATGATTGGCGATGGTGAGGGTTTTGACCTGGGTGAGTTCACATAGAATACCCCATTTATTTTTTGCGCTGATTCTATTAGATATTTGATAGAAAAAAGTCAATAGATTTCAATTTTTCTGTTTGATCTTTTTTCTTGAGATTTTTTGTATTAACACTATTGAGCACAGATTTTCTAAGTTTTTTCCCCTATATTTTGTTTTATTTTTTATTCTAGGATCCGAATGAAAAAAAATTAGAAAATTCATGTCCAAGTATTCTTATAGAAAAAATTCCGAGAGAATATTCATATAGAAAAATCAAAATCTATTGACTTCTTCCTATCAAATCTCATAGAATGAGCACAAAAAATAGACAGAATTTTCTAGCGAATTCGGTAAGCTTTTCTGTTGAATTTTTTCACACGTGATGTTCCGTCCATGATCAATTGAATAATTATTCCATTTATTTCTATTTCAGACTGGAGGCAGAAGACGCCGAGTTAGAGTTCGTGTTCGACCAGCCTCCTCCACCGAGGACTTTGTCACCTCCGAGTCCCAGCATATAAACTCAGCTGTGAACAACCTGGTACAAGATCCCCCGAAGCCCCAAAGTCGCCCATCGACCCCTTACACAACGACAACCCAAGAGACCACTGAAGTACCCACGACACTTCCCCCCGAAATGCCAAGTGTGAACGAATCGATTGCCTCCACCGACGAGACAACGATCAATTATACCGAGGTCCCTGAGCACACAAACTCATCAGAGTTGTCAGACTCCAAACCCATGAATAATGAAGAAACCGTTCAAGTTAAGACCGAGAGCGATTCAACTAAACCCCCGACAACTCCACAAACTTCACCAAAAGATGATACCAGTAATGAGTCAACAATGAACCCTGACATCACAACAGATTCACCTTTGATGACGACAATGACGGTTCCAAGAAAATCCTGGGATTCCACTAACGGTTACGCTGAGTGGTTCAAGTCCAAACAAATGAATTACTTCCCACGATCACAAGAACAGTACGAAGACAGTTCTGAATCTGCTGGAGACAATTCACATCCGAAGAACCACAGGAGTGAATGGAGTGAAGTTCGATATCCAAATGATCGAGGACTCTTCGGTTACGGTAGATCAGGCAGCCTCACTCCCACCACCCAACTTCCTGGGATTGTAACAAAGTCCGTTGGTGATTCGAGTGTTAAAACTTTATCGGATTACGTTCAAGCAATATTCGATACCATGAAGAACGCTGACGAGGAGAGACTGATTGGTGACAATGGTCAGGATCTTTGGAAGGACGAGCAGAAGCCCATAACATCCACTGAGGTTCATACCTCACCTACGGATGTATCGACGACCATGGGAATTCGAAGATCCGAAATCGATGGGCTTGAAGAAACTAAAGAAGGGAAAGAGTTTGAAGATTCAAATGGCAAGACTGAGGAGAAAGAAATGAGTGAGAAGGCAACGACAAAGGCATCTTCTGACGTTGAATTATCCAGTGAAGTTTCTTCTGAGAAAGTTGAAGAGGTCTCAACGACAAATCCACCTGTATCGACGCCTGAATCTCCCACAACAGTTCCAACTTCTCCAAAGACATCCGAACCATTCGATGGAAAATCAACAGAGAAGAATGAAAAATCAATTTCTGAGCCTGTTTTGAATGTTCCGACGAAGCTGGGGGCTATCCTGCGGACATCGACGACTACCAAGGTCTCTCATATGACAGAGATATGCTACAGGGGTCGTTGTGTTATGACAAAACCACGACAGGACAAAAGGAGATGAAGCTCTAAATTATTTCCTATTAATTCTGTAATGAAGTGGTAAAGATCCGAACATTTTGTACCCATTATTCTACAAAAGTTCTGAAATTAGCGGTTTCAAAGGAGTATCGAACTCAAGTTCTTTATCATTTTTAACATCATTCTCTATGACGTTTCACGTTGAAGACATTTATGTACAAAGAACTAAAAAGTTTACTTCGAACTCATCCCATTTTTCGCCACTTCACTAACGGATTATGGTCGTAAATTCATCGTTATCCAAGTTTTTATCAACGCATCATTCGACATCATCACAAAAAATATTGGTTTCATGAATTATTCGCCATTTTTCCGATAACGAACGCGCAAAATCGTCATCATTGACCTCAATGCCAAATTCAAGCGAATCGATTTTTATTTCCCCTCCCCCCATTTTGTATCGTTTAAGCTCTAAATTATTCGTACTAACGTAGATTTAATTACCCGAGAGTAACTTAAGCTTATGGTAAACTCTTGTGACCCAGTCACCTTTCTTGATGGAAAACAAGGGACAAGTGCGTGTGGATTTTTATTTCCATATGAGATATCATTCCAAGTGTGTCTACGTTAGTTTTAATCATTGCTGTAATCATTACTGTACGTATTTAATTATAATTTAACTGAAGTGCTCGGATTGCTGCTGATATACGGAGGTATTACTCGTGTCAAGCGATTCGAGATGAATAATGTATTTTGAATAAAAAGAAAAATATTACAAGTGTTGAATTCTTTTCTTTAGGGAGGAAAGATGGATTGGAGGAAGTTGGAGATCTATAAATAGAAAATAGGTGAAAGCTGAAGTTTTGAAGGGGCTGGAGTACCTCTCCAGATATTAAAAAAAGTTTATCATTAAAGTTTTGGGACTTCGACAGTCTTAAAAGGAACGAGAGAGAGAGAGAGAGAGAGAGAGAGAGAGAGAATCATCTCTTCAGTGATAATTTTTGTTTGAGGCTTTCTGCTGATTAAACTTGAGGGAATAGGGGAAATCAACTGCTGCGGAGGGAGAAAAAACGATTACTCTGATGAAGGGAATGACTGTTCAACTTTTTTTCTTTTCAATTAGTGGTAAAATAGAAAAATAAGTCAAGTAAAATGTGAAATGTTTCCTAGTTTAGCAGTTCCCTCACAAATTGAAATAGAAGTCATGAAAGGAATGGATGATTTTTTCTAACATCGGTCAGTACCATTATGCTTGCAATATTTTAAGAAATCTCCTCCAAAAAATTTGTCCTTATAAATGGAACCGATTGACATTTATTCTCATTCTTATCGTATCAATTAATGAACGAGGTTTATGATTTAAAATCCTCCAGACAGAAAAATCGCGGAGCCACTGGGGGATTGAACTCGAATCGGCTGTGTGCCAAGCGAATAACTGTACTAAAAAGCCCACTGCAGTACTTTTTCAAAGGATTATTCAACCAAATATCAAATTTACAATTTCACGGTTATAGTTAATCGGAAGAAATATTTCCATGAAATAACAATGGTTCACCAATCTCATATACCGCTATATGTTTATTCGATCACTATTCACTGGATCAGTCATCATTAAAAATGTCATGAGATTTTTTGAATAGCTTATATCTACAAGAAAGATCTCCTAATTCCTTCTAGCGTCATTTGTTATCCAGGTAGTTCTATGATTACCATCATAAACAAGCAGGGGCTCGAGCCTATCCGACAGAAGGCATGTGACCGTTACTTTTTGCGTCATTAGTCTCTTTCTTTTTTTCCATTTCTACCAATTCCATTGGTAGTAGGCTTCCAAATGGATTCGTGGCAATTCCCTATCCTTGCGACAGGCACACAACCAGACATAGGCATAATCATAATTTTTAATTACAGTTAAATTTTGAATCAATTGTTAATATTAGCCAATGAAATTGTCAATTGTTAATATTACTCACCTATTTTTTATTATTCAATTAACTATCAACTTAAATGTTCAAATTCGAAATTATTATATCAACCAATAATTGAGAAATTTAAATTACCAATTATTGTATTTTTTTTCAAATTTCAATGAAGATGAGCAAAACTTAATTATTTTAAAGTGCACCTTCTCATAATATAACTGAAGTAATGATTGATGCCGATCGATGCATACAAGAGTAACCACATGCTCCAGGGTGTCGACAGGAAAATATTTTTCTGTACTGCTTCTCACGATTTCTCGTCTGGTAATTGGTATTGCATACTTCCCAAACTCGAAAACTTGAAAATCACTACAGAAAAATATTGCTCCTGGGCTGTTGCGATGGGGTTTTTTTACTCGTGTGGTTGGCCAGTCCTCGCCTACGGCTCGGAGGCCAACGCCACATGAGTCAAAAACCCCATCGCAACAGGCCGGAAAAATACTATAACCTTTTAATGAAAAAGATTAATTAAACTGCTCGGCTGGTTGCACCTATCAAAAATATCAACCTTCAGTATTGTAAGAGGTATAATCATACCAAATCTCGACTCGCTACCTTAATTTTTTCACAAGTTATCGTGTGTGCAAGAATGAAAAAGTTTTCAAAACGGAAAAACGGGAATATCTCGGAAGTTTTATATGAACGGATATACATATTTTGATTGATCCAGATAGTGGCTGTCGAGAAGAGTATTTTGAAAGAAAATAAAATTGAGATCCGTCTAGTAGTTTATGAGATATTTTAAGAAATATGTTTACATAAAAGGTTGCATATCTCAGGAACCGCTCGGCCGATTGCGCCCATCGGAAACAGCAACGTTTAGTATTATAAGAGCTAGTACCATATCAATTTCAACTTGCTATCTCTTTTTTCCTGAAATTATCGTGCATACAAGATTTTTCATGAAAAACGGAAAAATGGCAATATCTCCAGACTGTGTATTAAAGAGTCTATATATTCTGATTAATTTACATAGACACCATCGAGGCGAGTATTTTGAAAAAAAAATTGAAATCGGTGCAGTAGTTTTTGCGATATTGAGGAACCACAAAATTTAAACAAGTTATCATATCTTGAGAATTGGCCCGGTGGCTTGGCGCAGTGGGTAAGTTCGTTGCCTCACATGCGAAAGGTTCCGAGTTCAAATCCCGGCCTGGTAGAATGGTGCGATCTAACCATTTAAAGTCTTGATCATCATCACACTATACCCTAACCGGGTCGAAACGATGTAAAATAACGATAAAAAAAAATATCTTGAGAATGATTGAAGAACTACTCAGTTCCGTAGATTCCAGTTGTTACATCTCAGGAGCGAACGGGCTGCAACAGCGCGCCAAAATTGAACACAATACTATTATTGTGTTCAATGAGCCACTAAAAATAGTAAACAATAATGGTAAAATAATGGTAAACAGTAATGGAAAACTGTAAATAGTTACAATGAGCCAAAATTTCAGATTTTTATCTACAGACTAGGGGGCTACGCACCCTGCTCGCTCCGCTCGCCAACCCCCACATGATTCCATATGATCCTCATATGATCCACATATGACCCCCATGATATTTATTCTGACCCTTGCGCCTCTTATTTAGACCCCTGTTACCCTTACTTGGACCTTTAATCTGACCCTTGTGACTCTGATTCGGACCTTTATTCTGACCTTTGTAACCCTTAATTTTGGACTCTTAATTTCGAGGACCAAATTTTCATCACCAGAAGTCGATTTGAATTTTTATGATATGGAGAGACTTAGCGAACAGGCGCTTCGCGCCCGTTGCTAAATTAATTTATGTTGTTATTTTATTTTATTTTCTTTCCACTTCCATTTTCACAATCAGATTAATTTAATTTTATTCACTCTTATTGTTATTATATGTATTTTTTTGTTCCTTAATTCACAAGTTACAACATTGAATGACAAGGAATTCCCCATAAATCGTGTGAGAATGAGAATCGATAAACAATTTTCGAAAATCATGCCTAAAATTTTTCATTGCTTTCTTTTTCTTTAAATTAATTAGTACCAATGATCTGAAAATGTGAACGAATATGAACATTTTACATCTCTTTGATCTCATTTCAATGGAACCGAAGAAGGAAATTACAAAGACAGATCGATCATCATCAATCAGTATCAATAAAATGAAAAAATCAATTTTTCTATGGCTTTTCGGAATTTTTCAAATTGTTTTTTTCTTCTTAAAAAATGAAGATTAACATTTTTAATTCCTGTGATAGTACTTCGTTTACAGAAACAGGAAATATGGAAAATGTAGGGAAAGAAAATCAGAAATAAATTTAAAAAATTGATTTTTTAATCTGGAAAATTTTCAAACGTTTTTTTTTAATAATGAAGAAAAACCAATGTATTTTTTTTATTATCTAATTCTGATGGAAGAAAGTGAAAAGAGGAAAAGAAACGAGATCAACACGCCAACAGAATCTTGAATTTTTCAATGTCTAGGAAAAATTTTAAAATTGATATATTTTTTCGAATAATGAAAAAACCCATAAATTCAACCCCATTTTCCGATTTGCAGACGAATCGAAAATATCCTGTATACCCATAAATTCAATTCCTACCAAAGCAAAGAATTCAAATCAGCAATGAAAAATCTTATCGGATTATTATTATACAATTTCACTGTATTTGTGTTAAAGTTTCTAAAAATTAATCACCAAAAACCCAAATTGTCGGGTACATACATGCCCTAATATGACCCTAAAAACATTATCTCTTCACGTTTCATAAAATTCTAGACCATTTGCAACCAAAATTAGAAAATCTAAAAATCGATCAAACACAAGGCTTCCATTCGGAAGCAAAAGTTCCTCCATTTGCGGAAAATTCGGTGGAATCAATAGATCATTACTCACGACAGAAAAACCGATAGATATTTGACATAAGACCTATGTTTAAAGACCATTAAACCCCAACAAAAATCTCCGAAACCAACGAAAAAAAAATTTTAACCCAAAAATTGATTTTATTTAATGAGACAATCTGTTCCTCTTCTCCCTAATACTCAATTTTGGGGCATTCATGGCGGCCACTCCGATCGATGCTCCCCTCCGCCCTCTCTCTCGGCCTCAATTTCCAGTTGCGATGTAACACTATCAACGAAAAACCAACCTGAATACCTATTTACCAATACACCTCAATCCTGTAATCCGCAAAGGATCTTCGTTATATCGATCAAACTACTGATGAACCATCCCCCAATAATCTCTCTCCTAAATCGTCCATCTTGCCTAACATTGCATTTGCTATCAAGAGCCGTGACATGAAACTAGATATTGAGTTACAAGTAAAGTCGTGGGATGAAACGATCGCTTGTGGCTCACCGAATACTCTCAAGAGGGTGGATATTGCCACCCCACTGCGCATGTCAGCACTTCTTCGTGCAGATGGCGCCCTCCGGAGTCGACAAAAACGTTTACCAATTCGGGGGTGGATTTTCTTTTCCCCACCGTCCATTAGACCTACGGTTGGGGGGGGATGTGTTGGTAACAGAAGAGGGGGTTGAAGTAGTGAGAATATTCGACAACGACGCCATGCGGGCTTCAGTACAAGTGCAGGGATCTTCCGTGAAGGGACTGCATTGAGTCCTACCCAATACGGGGGATAATATCCCACTATGCCAGGCGGCGAGGGGTCAAATTCCCCGATCAATTTTAATGATGTTGCAACGTCTTTGTCAAAATCAATTCTCAGTGATGATAAGTGTGGAACACGGTGTGATGAGAGTGAGGGTGATGCGATGACAATTGGTGATGGTGTTAGGAGGAGAAAGGTCATACGGGCGGCTAAGGAAACATTCGATAAGGGTAGGTGCTAGTTGAAATTCAGGGCTATACTTTGGAGACGAATCGAAAATATCCTTTACTACTTAAAACTGAATCGTTGAGGTGGCATAAACTCTAGAAGAATCATGCGAGTGAAATCGGTCTGGTTATAAATGTCTGTTTCTACTTCACGTCTGATTCGAAATGTCTTTTGACTGAATGAAAAATCGCAGGGATTGAAAATCGTTGACAGAAATAGATCCAAATGAAAATTCTAACAAAGGTTTGATGAAAAGTTGTGTTCATTTAATGGTCTGATAAAAATCTTCTTCTAATCGATAAAAATGCTGAAAATCACGGAAGGTCACGCGGGTGAACGGAAATCTTCAATAACGCTCGGTCAGGTCAAAAATATTAATTCTTAGTGCTTTGTTTGATCAAAATTGCGTGCTTTTACGAAACCGAAAATAATCGAAGAATGAAGTTCATGGAAGCAAATGAAGTTCATGGAATGATCAGTCTGAGATCTGATTGCATATTCGTTTCTATTCGATCGTCCATTCGAAAAATCTTTTTAATAATGTTAAAAGTATAGAACATTGAGGAAGCTCATACGGTGGAGGATTCTGCACCCAAGAAGGTCTGCGATAAGGACACGTCTGATCAAAAATGCGTTTCTACTGCATTGCCTGATCAAAGCTTTCAGTTTACACTTAACGTAAAATAGCGGAGAGTCAGACATGAAGTGGCAAATGTATTGAATCTAATTACGAATAATAGATAGCAGGGGTGGCTGGGGGTTCAAAAGTTTGATGTAGTTTTTTGTCACATGGGTTATGCCGAGAGGTGATAACGGAAAATTGGAAAGAAAATGTTGAATGGGTTTTTAGGCCCCTGCACATAGCCCATGCACTTGGAATATCGAGAGCATCGATTGGGAAACGACATCTGGTCTCAGGCACATTCCGGTGGTGCTCAGATGGTTCATAAAAAACGAAAAGAGAATTGAGACAATGCAAGAGGAATCAGTTTGCATGCTCTGCGATACGTATGGTATTTCATTTATGCGTGAGGAAAAGCTGATTTTTAAAACTCACTGTTTCACTCTCACTGTAACTCCGTCGGCCCACTTACGGTGACCGAGTTGGTTCGATAGAGGGAATGAGTGGAGGCAGGAAAAAGACAGTGGCACTCACTGGGATGGTTATATACCGTGGAGTTCTTTGATTTGAAAGGATTTAGAGAGATAAGACGGGTTGATCTCCACTGGAAGAACAATGGAGGAATTTATGTTTTTTTCTTCATTTTTTAATTTCAGCATCAAGACTTTTAAGACGCAAAATACCATGCACTGGCCATCTGATGACCCCCCGCCGCCTCTGGATCCAAAAAGTTCCAACTCAAGTGAGTAAATGACAATCATTACGAGCTAATTGTCTAGGTATTCTGGTAATCATCGAGTCCAGAAAAAAGAGTCTTAAGACATTTTTTCATTTCTTGAGCTATGAAAAAGATTTTGCAACATTTACTGCTGAAACCACTCTTTTTTTGAATAATTTTCATAATTAACAGCAGTCAAAAAACATTGAATCGTTTTATTGACGGCCAAAAATTCACTGTAAAGAATAACAGAAATAATTTATTATTTCGGTGGATTATGCCAATTTATAGTTCAGTGAATAAATGTATCAATTAGCGAAATTACAGAAAATAGCAAATACATTTACCTTTGCTTCTGTACGTTTCACCACCACTCTCCGATAGAGTTACATAACTAGAAACGAGAAGAATGAGAATAAAAGATCGTATAAAATATAGCCAAATTCGAATGTTTCATTTGAATTCAGTAACGAAATGGTAAAACGGTACAAGTCAATTTTGACTATTGACCCGTTTTCAATGGATATCTCGGAATCTAAAGGCGATAGCAAAATTTTCGTTATAACCTTTTTTGTAGAGCCGATTGAGAGCTACAACAAATGTCATTCCGAAAATTCCGGCATCTCCCTTAAATTTCGGAATTTTCCTCGAAAACTCAACTGGGAGATAAGTCGACTTAAACCATTTTACCACTTCGCTACTAAATTAAAGAAAGTTTATTTGAATCAAACGAATAGTTTTTTAAATATAAACAAATAATTTCCTCATCAAAATAAGGAATTTCTTAGTTAGAAATGAAATCATTACTCAGACGGCAAGGACAAAAGGTTTGTTAACATGCCATAATCTTTTTTTTTTGATGAAATGCATAACTTAATCTGCAAACCAACATTTTTTCTTCCATTTTCTTTGATGAGAGAAAATCACAGGCAAATTGATTGCATTAATTGGAATGCAAATATAATCAGTGACATAACGATAATTAGTGACATAACAGAATTGTTACGCAATTAACTATCGCAGATTAATGCGCATAAGCACAGTGCATCCGACGAATTCAACAAATATTGACTAAACATCAAGCGAAATTTGCGTGCAGTTGGCATGATGCCTAGCGCGTCAATTATGTTAATGGTAAAAGTACTCAAGGCGCCAAATACGGCTGAATAAATAAATTTTTCCCCACATTTCATGCTTCTTATCAGCGGACAACAGCGAGTGGATTCTGCATTTCCATATTTTGCTTTCCTCTGATACACGCTAATGTTCCCAGTACTGTAGTCGTCAACAGAAGCATCATTTATTCGTTTTATGGATCTGAAAATAAAGGTCCACAGGCAGAAATATTTTTTATTGTTTGAGATAACTGAATGTAATGGTTTCTATTCTCTATGCGCTGTTCTTCCGTTCAGAAATAATCGAAGAATGGAAATTATAGACAATTTATTCAGTCGTTTTTACGAATAACAGAAATTGGATTTCGAGTACAATTTGTTAAATATTGATACGATGTACATCTCAGGTCGAAGGTCCCAGTAACTGAACATGCCTCAGTAGTTAAGAGATTCGAAAATATTGCATCTTTATCGAATCACAAAATTTATATACAGGTAGAAAACTTAGCAATTCATTCAGTAGTTGAAATTAATACGAATGAAGATTGTTTTAACTCATAAAAATTAGAAACATTTTTTTTATTCATCCATCTTCTTTCAGTTACCCTTAGATGATAAGAACATTAAAATTTACGACCTTGGAAGTTAACTTTTCAGTTCACATGTGGGCTATCGCACGAAAGGACCTTTTTTGTCGAGTCCAATTTTTTAAAGATTCACGTTTCTGTATTGATACCTCCTATTTAACCCCTCACCTATGGGGTCGATGCCATGCATCGACCCATGAAAATATGAATGACTCTCTTTAAAATTGATTATTTACAAAACTATGGAATTTAACTCAACGAAATGAATAACAACGAAAAAAGGAATACTGTAGCTTCAATTACGTATCGGTTTCATACTTGTATCGAGCGTACTCCACGCTTGGAAACAAAAGGGCCCCGGTCGTGAGGGGTTAAGGTAGTCGCTTTGTTATGGGGCGGTACCCACAGTTTTAACTTTAACAAAATTTTTATGTCTCTTTTTGAAGCCAACAGCCAATTCTTAAGAACTTTAGTAAAAAAAAAAGAGGAATTTTCAATCATCTATTGACGTTGAAATAAGGTTCTCTTATCGAAATTCAAAAAGTTTAAGAATCGAACGAAAAATGAATACTTGATGGATACATGTCGATTATACGCACGATCAAAAAATGCCAAGTTTTGGTGTTCAAAATCGAAAATGTTAAACTTGTCAAATTTTGAAAATATTCAACAAAATCAAATTTTAAGAGCTAAGAGCTTTCATATGTGACATTAAACTGTAAAATTTGAATATGAATATGAAAATTTGGCTTTCGTATCTACGAATACATTCTATGTATTTCGAAAAATTTATGAGAAAAGCCCGTCATGCGATAACTACCTTAAACCAATATTGAATCATTCATTTTCATCCTCCTATAGCGATGTCATTTTGCACACTATCGGGGTCGGCTTTGGCACAAAATGTGCGGAATTCAACCAAGATTACCGCAGTTTACATAGCTCCAATGTCGCCAGATCGAGCCCTTTCCATGCGGAGGTTCAGCAATATGCTTTTATCAGCCCAAAAACCCAGACCTTCTGGCGAATACGAGAAATTTCCATTAAAAAAAGTTGAAAAAAGTGTCAACATTCTCTGAAATTGAGTAGCGAAGTGATAAAACGTGATAAGACCGAAATTCACTACGAGGTCAGTTTTTGCAAGATATATCGAAACGGCAGGGAGATACCCGGGTAGAAATTCAACCGGGGATTCAGCCGCAACTCGGGTGAGCGCGAGCTCAGTTTCGGCTTGCCGCTTGACCCGAGTTCACGCCGCGACACGCCGCTCCATGCCGGCTCACAGTCGAACGCTCATCAGACGGCATAACCCGGCACTTGAGTTTGAGCTGTGGCTCAACGCTTAGAGCTCAGCTCCGATTGAGTCGTGTCGTTTCGAGTGGAGGGTGGAATAGAATGATATTTATGCATTTTTGGAATATCGATTTAAAATTTGAATACTTTGGAAAATCAAGAAAAACCGAGCGGAAAAAACTTAGAAATCTTACGCCTAAGAAAATCTATAGGAAAATAAAAACCTATTTACTTTCTTGCACCAAATTTTACCTAACAAAAAGAGTCCATGAAGTTGCATAATCTCCTATAGAATCGGCGCAAGAAACGAATAGAATTCTAATAGAACTTCCAGAGAATTCTCATAGAATTCCAATAGAAATTTAATAGAAAGCGCTAGGTTTTTCTGTTGAATTTTTTCATGCGTGTTATTTTGGCATACCTGTATTCAACATTTCCCTAATAAATCGTAGAATATTCTTAGAACTCGTAGGCCTATCGAAAAATGAAGAATATCCTCTCCTGTAGCGTTGATAATTAATAATAAAGGTTCGTTAACGTTTTTCAAGTGATTATTTTTCTTGATTTTGTTTGTTGTATTCGCGAGAAAAAAGAAAGTTTTGACTACGTTTCAGTGAATTGTTCTACCTTGTATTTTCAGATTAATCCCATTCGATTAGTTAATATCACGTTATTTCTGATGAGCTTTTGATTGTTCATCTGAAAAAGCATGCCATCTTCACATTTATTCGATTGTTTTTTCGCTCAAATCACGATGCCATCGGACCTGTCAAATCATTATTGAGGTTAAGTATACTGGGATTGAGTAATTGGAGATGAACCTGAGGTTGAGCAGTGGCCGTTCAACTAAAGCCCGGCGAAGCGTTTCGCGTAATAGTCTAACGCTGGGCTGTGAGCGCGTGACGCGGCTCAACCTCGGGTACATGTGACGCGCGTGGAGTTTATCCCAAGCTGGGGCGGTGTGGCGTATTTCTAGCTGGGATACGGGTTCCGAGCCGAGCTCGAGCGGCGTGATTTCTACCCTGGTAACGAGCTCATCATAGCCCTCGTTTCACATCCTTCAGATTAGAATATTGATGAGCAAGCAGGGGTTCGAACCTATCCGACAGAAGGCATGTGACCGCTACTTTTTGCCTTATTAGTCCCTTTCTTTTTTTTTTTTTTACTAATTTCATTAGTAGTAAGCTTCCAAATGGATCCGTAGCAATGCCCTATTCTTGGGACAAGCTATGTCATGAGTAATCGTTTCCTCATTTCTATCCCGAAATTTAGTAAAAATTAATATATAATGATCAAATTTTATTCTACGTTAGAGAAATTTTAGCCTGACGCGTAATAAATTTTACCCTTCCAGTCCAATAATTCTCATATAGATAACAACGAAGATTCTAGAACGGTTGGTAAATTTTCCATATCAAGATTCCATATCTCAGGAACTGCTTGGCCGATTATGCGCATCCAAAATACAAACCTTTAGTATTACAAGAGCTAGAACCACACCAAATTTCAACTTGCCACCTCCTTTTTTCTCTCAAGTTATCGTGCGTACAAGATTTATCGTAAAAGAAGGAAAAACGACAATATCTCCAAACTGTGTATTAAAGAGTCTGTACATTCTGAGTGACTTACATAAAGGCCATCGAGACGAGTATTTTGAAAAAAAAAATTTTGAAATCGGTCCATCAGTTTCTGAGGTAGTGAGGAAAAACGAAATTTGAAAAAGTTGTCATATCTCAGGAACTACTGGACCGATCAGGCTGAAACAGCGCGCCAAAGTTGAGCTCAATAATAGCTAAAATGAGCAAAAATTTCAGATTGTTATCTACAAATTTCACCCCGTATTTATGTTTAATTTTCTAAAAATTAATCACCAAAAACGCAAGTTGTCGGATACATACATACAGACACGACCCTAAAAACATCATTTTTTCACGTTTCATAACATTCTAGACCATTTGCAATCAAAATTAGAAAATAAAAAAATCGGTCAAAAACAAGGTTTCCATTCGGAAGCAAAAACGAAATTTCT